CTGTTCCTAACTATGGGTTATTTGTAAGTCGGGGACTGCCTGTACTTCCAAACATAAAAACCACTAAGTTGTGAGGAAATCAAATTGATTGCATAAACTTATTGTTGTTATCATAGGCGATCACTCACGACCAAGTAGAGTTTTGGTGGTGGGTCTGTAAGTGACTGTGAAGGCCAATTCTGGGTCTGCATGGTCTTTCACAATGAGGACATAGATTTCTGGAATAGAGTTATGCCAACCATTCCCTAACAGGGTTATTTATTTTCCATCCCTAGATATTTAAGGGATATTTTCTCCCAGTATAGGTTAATGGAAAATAAAGTGAGAAATATTTTTTGGATTACAGTACCAAAAACATTTGGAAAGTTCCGATTTCTCATCCATCTTGTAGACTCTTACACATTGCTCTTTCCCATATCCTTCCATCATATTGTGTGAAGCAGCTTTTCCCAATTGTTGTGAATTTTAATGCTAACAATTCAAAGACTAACTGCCCTTCAAAGTTCACGCTATATTGCAAAGATTGAAAATTCCAGTATTTAAAAGCTGTATCTTCATAATTCAATTTCTTCAGCGGCACAGAAAGACTTTAGAGTTGAGTCATGACTCAGGACGGCAATGAAGTCCCATTACTAAGTTGAACTTTGCATTAAATGAGAGCCAGGCCATTATTTTGTATACAGCATACTCTTTATTTCAACAGTTTTGAATGGGTGAATGAAAAGAAGCTTTCAGTATCACACGTTAAACATATTACCACCCTTAAAAAATAGAATTAAATCTAAATGCTGTCCTTTAAAAATAGGTTTGTGAAATTATCACAATAACTTGTTAGAGACAAATTCTTTTTGACCTATAAAACACTGGAATTATTATTTATTCATTGTTTTAATCTTCAATTTAGTTGCAAAGAAGGATGGAACCTAATAAACATGATAGCTTAAAGAAAAATACACCCACACTCTTTTACTTTTTGATCCTTTATAGCTGAGAACTCCAGAATGTAGGCATTTTTACCCAGAGTTGTTTTCCTTTTGGGTGGAGGTCAGTGGAAAAGTATGACTTTTTGCTATATGCTTTATAGTAATAACGCTAAAAGATAATGTTTCCCGTTAGATTTTGAAGGAAAGCCCTAGTGCTATAACTCCAGGTTCTGATAAAAAAAATTGAGCAATTTGTGGAGAAGGGAAGAAGGCTTGCTGCCAAACCACATGGTAAACTAAATTTGTACTTTTGTGTTCTACTGTGTATAAAATGCATACAAAAGCCCATAAATTGATGTTGTTGGAGCAATATATTTTATTGGGAATGAAACAGTTTATTTGCAATGCCTCTGTAATGACATCCTGATGGGATACTTGCTCTCGAAAAAATGGCTGGAAGCAAGAATAACAGTTCCCAAATCAGGAGGGTCAATGCTAGTTACCCTTGGCCTACAGGTCGATCTCATGGGATCTTAAAATGTTAATGACAACACAATACAAAAATTGCTCTTTTAAAACTAGCTAATTAATTCTGATCAGACTGGCTTTATTGCCTTCTGGGCAAATGACAAATATTGGTACTAATTTTGTCAACCCAATTGTGACATATATTCGGGAAGCATATGGAAGCCAATCTAAGCATTTCCACATCTTCTCAGCAATAAAGAGACTTCCAGAGGCTGCTTCATAAAATATCTGGGTGTTTTGGTATTCAAGGATATAATCTCGGGTGCATCTACATGGTAGAATTAATGCAGTTTGACAACACTTTTAACAGTCGCATCTCAATGCTATGGAATCCTGGGAGTTGTAATTTAGTGACGCCATAGATATCACTTTGACAGAGAAGGCTAAAAACTTTGTAAAACTGTACCTTCATAGCTTTGATTTGTGGCAGTCAAAGTGGGGTCAAACTGTGTTAATTCTAACTCGGGTATTATAGAGACTTCAGATTTCTTGAGAAATAGGTGGTCAGCAAATTAAAAGCCTGGCACCGTAGCCCCATCCGTATTCATTTTAGGAAGGACTGCATTACTTGAAATGTTCATTCCTTATCTTCAGAACTTGAGACCTAGTGATTTAGTGCAAAGAAACTAGATGGACCAGGCATGGCCCTCCAGATGTTTTGGACTTCAACTCTCACAATTCCTAACAACCTCAGCCCCCTTCTCTCCCCCCCCCCCCCCCCCCCCCCCCCCCCCCGCCTAAGCTGAGGCTGTTTGGAATTGTGGGAGATGAAGTCCAAAACACCTGGAGGGAAGGCCTAAGTATGGTCATGCCTGAGCTAGACCCATCTTTGTGGTTATAGTGAAACTGTCTCTTTTCTCTCTCAAAAGAGCTTCAGGTATAATTATTAAGTTAGGTAAAGGTTTAACCCATTGCGCCACCAGGGGCTCCCTAATTCTTAAGTTACATTCAATTAAAATATATATTTGCTGTGTTAAGGCTTGCAAGCCTTATACGAGAATTAATACTATTTGACACCACTTGAATTGCCGTTATGGAATCATGGGGTTTTTATAAGCCCCTCTGCCAGAGGGCTGCAGCCTCATCAAACTACAAATCCCATGTTTCCATGGCAGTCAAACAAGTGTCAAACTGCATTATTTTTTAAGTTCAGATGAATGCACCACTTCTCATCTTGCTTCTGGCAGGAAAACACACAAAGACCTGGATGACTGATGGATGAATCAGAAGCCCATGTTTTTCCTTCATATTGTTTGATGTTCAAGAAATCTGAGTGACAAATGTTTTCCCTTCATGTTGTTGTTTGAGGGATGATGCTCAATGCAAATGAGCAGAGCAAAGCAGGTACTTTAATTAAATGTGTGGTGGAAAGAACTTCAGAAAGGTAATGTTTTGGAAAGGAGGCTCCTTGTGCAACACACTAACAGATAGGACACAGTCATGGTCAGAGAACAATGGACTATAGTTATGTTATAGTTGTGCCATTGTTAGGATCACACGTGTGCTTTAATGTCAATCAAAATAATAAACAACAAATGAACAACTGTATAGCTAGCCTAGACCAATGAAATTATTTGTCTTTGGGAACCAATGGAAATGTATATTCCATTTACTACCAAAGTGATAAAAGCTCTGCAGCCCCATTGGGGGTTGCGACAAACCCTTTGATTGCATTCCTGTATGCTTGTTTGTCGTTATTGCTATGGCCACGCAATAAATAGTTTTTGTAGTTTAAAAGATTCAACTTTTGTGGTGTCCTTCCTTGCCCTCCCCACTGGAAAGGAAGCTCCTGCTTTTTGGGAGATATTTTGGTTTCTTTGCCCTTACACTTGTTTGGAGGCTTTTAAGCAGAAGCTGATGGCTATCTGTCAGGTGTGCTTTGAATGTGATCTTCCTGTTTCTTGGCAGGGGGTGGTGCAATGCCGGCAGTTCGAATCTGGGGAGAGTTGGTCGAGCTCCCTCTGTCAGCTCCAGCTCCCTATATGGGGAAATGAGAGAAGATTCCTACAAGGATGATAAATCATCCAAACATCTTGAGTGTCCCCAGGCAATGTCCTTGCAGATGGCGAATTCTCTCACACCAGAAGCAACTTGCAGTTAGGCAGGGGGTTAGAATGGATGGCCTATGAGGTCCCTTCCAACTCTAGGATTCTATAAGTCACACTCTCTCAGCCTCAGAGGAAGGCAATGATAAGCCTCCTCTGAACAAATCTTGCCAAGGAAACCCTTTTAGGATTGCTACAGAACGACTGGAATCTGCCGAATGTTTTGCTTCTGATGAGATTCATTTTGGCGGGAAACGGGGAGAGGATTTTAGCCGCCCTTTACTAGGTTGGTTTCTGGTTGATTCTGGGGATCACAACCAGACACAGTGAAGACATCTGCCCTTGTGCTATGCTACTCTGCTGCTGAGTACGCATGCGCAGTGTGGAACACATCTCACCATGCTAAAACAGTGGATGTGGCTCTTAATGAGATATATTGCATTATCATGGGGTGTCTGCGCCCTACACCACTGGAGAAATTACACTGTTTAGCCGGCATTGCACCACCTAACATCTGCTGGGAAGTAGCAGCCAAAAGTGAAAGGACCAAGGCAGAGACATCTCCAGCTCATCCCTTGTTTGGGTATCAGCCAGCATGTCAACGACTTAAATCTAGAAATAGTTTTCTAAGATCTACAGAGACACTCGCTGGAACACCCCAGCAAGCGAGAGTCCAAAAGTGGCAGGCTCAAACCCAGAGCCTCAATCAATGGCTGATACCAAATGAGAGACTCCCCCCTGGGCACCCAGAAAACTGGGCAACTTGGAAGGCGCTGAACAGACTGCGCTCTGGCACCAAGAGATGCAGAGCCAACCTTAAGAAATGGGGCTACAAAGTGGAATCCACGACATGCGAGTGTGGAGAAGATGGATTTCTTATATTGATGTACTGATGTATTGATGCTGATGTTTAATGATTTGTGGTGCTATTGCTTTTAAATGCCTAATGATTTTGTATTGTGTATACCTAAACTGTTGTAAACCGCTCTGAGTCGCCTAAGGGCTGAGAAGAGCGGTATACAAATAAAGTAAATAAATAAATAAGAGCAAACCACTGACCACCTGCTGCAATGCAACCTGAGCCCTGCCACATGCACAACGGAGGACCTCCTTGCGGCAACACCAGAGGCACTCCAAGTGGCCAGCTACTCGTCAAAGGACATTTAATCAACTACCATGCTTGCAAACTTTGTGTTTTGCTTGTCTGTCTGTCTGTTAAAAATGTAATACAATTGTTTGGTTGCTCCTGACACAATAAAAAAAATACGAGGTTGCCTCCTCTTTGCGCATGCGTCCAACAGGGCTCGCGCACCTCTTTGACCTTCCTAGATTAGGCGCCGTCTACCAGGCAGGCCGCTTCTTCTCCCTGGAACGTGCGCGCGAGTGCGCATGCGTTAAACTGGGCTCGCGCGTTTAGCTGTATATTAGGGGGGGGAGGGGGGTTGAGGTGCCCCAACGGTCCTTCCGTTGGAGTGGGAGAGGGCGCGAGGAGGACGCGAGGCAGGCAGGCGCGGCGGTTGTGCGTGGTAAGGCGTCCCCCTTCCCTGCGCCTTCTGCCTGCCCTGCCTTGCCCGTTAGCGCCCATTCTGGAGGTGAAGCGGCTGACTGACTCAATGGCGGCGGCGGCGGCGCCCTGGCTAGAGCTTCCCGCCCTTTTTGAGAAGCCGGGCACGATGAACGGCTCCTTCAACGAGAGCTTCGAGGCCTTGGTCTTCTTCCCGCGGGACCACCCCGTGGCCCCAACCCAAAGCCGCGCTCCTCTCGACGATTTCGGCTTTTTCAATTACGGCATCTTCCACATCATGCGCCCCAACCGGCCCATCACGCTGCTGCTGGTCTTCCTGAGCTGCGCCGTGGGAGGTAGGAGAGGGCCCTCGCACGGTGCCCACCCGCGACCGTGAGATACAGACCCTGGCCTTTGCCCTTTCCTCCCGGGATTGAGGGAAACAGCGTTGCCCTGCAGATTGTTACTGGGGCATCTACTAATATACTCCCAAGTTGGTATTGAAAGTGGTTTCATTGCAGAGGATTTCAAAGGAAAGCCTGGAACCAGTTTATTTATTCCCGGAATTTCTAGGACATTATTTCCAGACAGAAAGAGGGGCTTTCAACATATTCAAAAATACAGTGTAACATAAATCCATCCATTAAAACAAGCCATAAGAGTTACACAAATGCTCCATAGCCTCCACCATCTAAACCAGGCATGGGTAAACTTGGGCCTTCTGGGTGTTTTGGGCTAATAATAATAATAATAATAATAATAATAAAAACTTTATTTGTACCCTGCCACCATCTCCCCAAGGGACTCGGTGCGGCTTACATGAGGCCAAGTCCACAGTACATCAATAAACAAATATCAATAAAACAATCAATACAATACAATTCATATAAATCACATAAACAAAAAAACAGGCAATAAACAACCAACAGTGACATACAAGCATTTAAAACCAATGGCCGGGCCAAATGTAATATATTAAAATTTTAAAATAATGCTGTCGTGAACAGGTAGGATATAAGTGGGATAGGATTTTCAGAGAGAAATAAGAACGCTTCAACTCCCACCATTCCTACCAGCCTCAGGACCCTTCCTTTTCCTCCTCCACCACTTAGGCTGCGGAGGGAGAAAAGGAAAGGGCCTGAGGCTGTTAGGAATGGTGGGAGTTGAAGTCCAAAACACCTGGAAGGTCCAAGTTTGCCCATGCCTGATCTAAACTTTAAATTAAATTAAAATCTGTCTAAAATTCCTGTACAAACTATCAGGTGCTAGGGCTTGGTTAAAATTCAATTAGAAGCTGTTTCTAGCAAGAAAGTCTTCACTCCTATTCTAAATGACATAAAGGCGGGGGCAGATCTGATTTCTTCCTGCCTGGATGGTTGTTAAACCACAGAGGACTTGATGCTCTTTAAGGGGTTTCTTTCCTGTGCTTTCTTGGAGAGTTTAGTGTTCGGCCATTAGTTGCTGTTTGAATTTAGCTGTTGAAGCTACCTTCATTTTGTTGTCAAAGGTTTTCACTGTTGTGTGGTTTCCAGACTGTATGGCCGTATTCTACCACCATTTTCTCCTGACGTACTTATTTATTTATTAATTATTCAAACTTATATGCCGCCACTCCCCTAGGGCTCGGTGCGGCTTACAAGAAACAAACTCGAATCCAACACATTTTAAAACAACATATCAAAGATCGAAAGCCTGTTGAAACAAATATGTCTTACAAGCCCTGCGGAAAGCTGATAAATCCCGCAAGGCATTGACTTCTGGTGGCAGAGTGTTCCAGACAGATGATGCCACTGCTGTAAAGGCTCTGCGTCTAGTTGCTGTTAGACGCAAGGTTTTAAAACTGGGAACTTCCAATAAATCTTGGTCCTCGGAGCGGAGAGATCTCTGGGGTTGGTAGGGGGTGAGGCGGTCCCTCAGGTACATCGGCCTAGACCATGTAAGGCCTTAAAGGTAAGTACCATCATTTTAAAAGTGATCCGGTGCTCAATCGGTAGCCAATGCAGCTGCAGTAAGATTGGGGTTATGTGGCATCTCATCGGAGCTGCATCTGTGGCTGGCATCTTCGGTGGATCCGTACAGCCTGAAACCTACACAACACCTCAGAGAGTATACATTTTCCACTCATCCTGATATCTAAATGTAAAAGTCTAAAAGGTAAAGATTTCCCCTGACATGACGCGTAGTCGTCTCCACTCTGGGGGATGGTGCTCATCTCCATTTCTAAGCCGAAGAGCCAGCACTGTCCAAGGTCATGTGGCCAGCTTGACTGCATGGAGTGCCGTTACCTTCAGTAGTTAAGAAACGGGTTACTATACTCATCTCATGCTGCTGTGGACTTTAAGAAGTTAAGTAATGAACAAGAAGAGATTCCATGTTCATTGTATTTTGCAACAGTATGTATGTATGAGCATTTAAGTGTCCTGTCAATTTATGGTAACCCCATAGACTTCATGGGGTTTTGTTAGGCAAAGAATACTCAGAGATCTGAAATAAAACCTGTGGTGTGAAATTTTCACTATCATCAGATCCTCTGAAGATACCAGCCACAGATACTGGCAAAACGTCAGGAGAAAATGCTGCTAGAACACTTCTATATTGCTCAGAAACCACACAACACCAATAATAATATTTACAGCTGCATTTGAGATGAATTTCTGTATATTTAAAAATCAGCTAGCATTGAGCTGGTTTAAATAGTGTTGATGGGCCCTCATCCTGACACTTACTAAAACATAATATTGATCGCATATTAATGGTGATACATTTTCTTTTCAGCACTGTTGCGAACTGTTTTAAGAGAAACAAAAGTTCCTATTCTTGTGATTATATTTTTCATCGGACTTGGCATTGGAATATTAGCCCATTTTACACATCAGGTACAATATTATTAAAGTAAGAGAGAATAAGGAAGTGTGGAAATATGTGTTCTTGTATTATGCAGATAGAGTTTACAGTTCATTGCCTGTTTGTGAGAGGTAATGTTCCTGTATATTCATTCTAGAATCTCTCTGGATTTTATTTATGACTAGTGGATTTACTTAAAAACATTTTGAGAGATCGAGTGTTATCACAGTGACATCCCCAATATTGGTACCCTCTCAATAAAAACAGAAGCTTTTAAAGCAAGAGATTCTATTTGTCATTGTAACTTTTTTGGAATACAATGACTTAAAGACGTATCTATAAAGTCCTAGCCTTTTTTCTGTCAACATTATTACTGCTTGTTTCTTAGAAATTCTTTGAATCAGAATTCAAACTGACAGAAAGACTCCTTGAAGATGGCAGTATAGGCAGTCCTCGAGTTACAAACATCGGGCTTACAAATGGTTTCTAGTTAAGAACGGGGTGAGACAACAAGAAATGAGGGGTATCTTCACCTAAGAAGGGAAATTCAATATTGAAAGCGTTATGGGGAAAGGGGATCTCCACTGAAGCTCTCCCACCAATTCTTGTTTCCATAATCCAAAAATTTAAAAATCCAATGGTCACAACACAGAAAATGAGGTGAGATTTTCTGAATAGGTGCACAGACATCAGAAGAAATATCATGGGGGGGGGGGTATGCTATTTCACTCGCTCCCCCCCCCCCCCCCCCCCCCCCCCCCCGTATATGGCTGGAGTTATACTTAAAATGTTCCTGTTCCAACTTACATACAAATTCAACTTAAGACCAAACCTACAGAACCTAACTTGTTCAACTCAGGGACTGCCTGTATTTTTTTCTTCCCGGGAAAGCACAAACGTTGGGAAGTATCACTTTCCATAATCAATATCATAAAGTGATAAGTACCTTGGAAACAATATGTCTTGCAGCTTCTTTTACTTACGAGGTTATTGTACATATAACAGCCCCTTAGGAAGAAATAATCCAAAATACAGCTAAAATTTGGATACATCATTAGAAATCACATTGTGGATTCAATGTGTGAGAGGATGGAAAGAGGAATTGAGACTACTCATATCTTCAGCATAATCCTTATTATTACGAGAAGGCAATGAAAGGCTATGACAGAGCATAGTGTAAAGGCTTACAAGGCAAATTGGGGGAAAGTGTCGTTCCCATGGTGTTACCCATGAAATCTGGATTCTTTTGAGATTTCCATTTCAGAAGTGGAGTTGCAAAAAAAAAATTACTGAGTTATTTAAAGAACAAAATAAAAGTATGAGGACTTCCAAAAGTAATCTCAAAGTGAGCTCAAGTGAAATTCCCTGATTACTGTTAGTTTCAAAATATTTTTTTTAAAAATAATCTTAGTTGTTTCTGAAAAATCCTTTTCGGATTGACCCATCAGAAGGCAGTGGGAGTTACTGTACCAAAGATAAAGTTTCAAACATTCAGCCTTCATCCTGTTGTGTTCAGCCAAGGCATCCAGCACTACCACCCCAGCTCATTTTGTTTTATATGGAATATAAGAAAGTCAACCACACCTTTTGTGTTTGATAAGAAGAGTATGCTATATTATAATGCAAGTCATTTTCAGCTAACAATACTTTCTACTTTTTGTTATCAGTTACCTTTTGTGAAGCAAATTTCAGGTATAGATCCTGTGCTTTTTCTTCATTTGTTTACACCAGTAATAATATTTACAGCTGCATTTGAGATGGACTTCTATATCTTTCGAAAATCGTTTTGGCAGGTAAGGAGTATAATTTTCAATTTCTTTTCAGACATTTAGAGCCTTCTGTCATAGGGATAATGACATAGCTACACAGGGGTTTAACAAAGATGAGGATGGAGCTTTTTTTGGTAAAAGGGAAATTTTCCACTAACCAAGGAGAGTATCTTAACTGTAACTCTTGACTAACTCCTGACAGACCTGTGCAAAGCCTCTACCTGCTATGGCCAGAAAACATTGCCCACTTTAAAATCCTGTCTTCTTGGGCATGCAGTTTTATTCGGCTCCAGAGATTTTAAGAGTGTTTTGGGACCTAAAATATTAAGGATAGGTTTTGCTTTTTCAAATCTCTGTTGTAGATGATAGATATGAAAAGAATTAAAATAGTATGCAACTTTCAGTAGACACTTTTCAAGAGTTATGAGTCATGCAGGAAGATTTCAAAAGGGAGACTATTCAGTCTTGAGTTTGCTGTAGGTAGAGCCACCTGTCTGGATGGTGAGAATTCTCACACATGCCAATAGGTATTAGAATAGGCACTATGAAATACATTTTCCAGGGACATACTTCAGGGAAGGGCAAAGTGCACCCTGGAATTACATGGGCTCCCAAGGCCATAAATGAAGCCTTTAACCCTTCCAGTCTCCCTCATGAAATTCAGTAAGCTCTGCCTGGATTTCTTCTGCAACCTCTTCAACATTAGTACCGAAAGGGTTACGAATTAATTTTTGGTCAACTTTAGATTCGGTTTGGCTTTATTCTTGGAAGTAAGGATTGAATTTGTCAGCCAGCATTTGCAGATAACTTATGATGTTTTCTTGTACGTTTGCACTGATCATGTCATATTTGTTATCAAGTGCTTTTAATGTCGCAGATGCAGAATCATTGTTTTGCCCATTTTACGTAACTGAAGTTTGCAAATAAAGGCACAAAGTTTATCTTCAAAGATAAATATGTTTGCAACACCTTCTAAATTTCTGTTTCTGGAACCTTGCAATTGCAAGTTTAGCTTATTCAAGTGTGTGAAAATATCCACAAGATAAGCCAACTGCATCTGAGATGGCAGATCAAAAAACTGCTCTAGTAAGTCTCATTTTTTTCCAGCTGGAAACAGCTCAACCTCGATGTGAAAAAGAAGTGCCTCATGATCAGAGTCCATTTTGGTTCACAGTTCTTTAAAAAGGCGTGTATTTAAGGCACTGCTTTTGATAACAGTGACCACTTTTATGGCCAATTGCATTGTCTTATTAAGGCTTTCAGGAAGAGTCTTGGAAGCTAACGCCTGGCAACGTATGATACAATGCATTGTTAATATAGAATGATTCTGTTTTATTAATGTTGCTAGACCAGTTTCACAAGTGTTTCTCCTATTGTGTGTGGTTTTTTGATTGCGCTATCAATTTTGATATCTCAAACGATGCAACTAATGTTTTTTCCTTTTTTAATAATATTTTTATTAAGTTTTTCAGGTACAATAAAAAGTAGGGAACATAACCATAGTAAAGAAAAGTAGGAAATTTGATAGTTGGGAATGGAGAAGGTAAATGGAAAAAGGTAAAGAGGGTTGTGGTTTAGGGTGGTAGGTTAGAGGGGGGGAAGGGGTTTGACAGGATGAAATTATAATTTGACTTCCAATCTTCTTCACTTCAGGTATGTCTATCTTCCTCAGTTCATTAAGACTCTCACAAAACGTTGGTCAGCTCTTTTTTATTATCTTCTTAAGAGTATTGGCTGTTTGTTTTCATCTTACACCTATTATCCATTTCAGGTTTTCTTGCATTAAAAAATTCTTTACCTGTAACCAGTCCATTTTTGATATCTTCAGATTCTGTTTTATACTCATTAATTGGGTTAATTTGTCCATATTCATAATGTCTATAATTTTAATTAGCCATTTTTCTTGTCTTGGGATCTCTTTCGTTCTCCAGTGTCTTGCATAGTTTATTCTGGCCGCAGTCACCAGATAATTAAAAGGTTTGTCCTTGTTAAGTTCCATTTAAAAGTCTGTTAATCCTAAAAGGAAATATTCTGGTTTTAAGTCTATTTTTATGTCCAATATCTTTTCTATTTTTTGTGTATGTTCTTCCAGTAGGACTTGGCAATTTTAATGTAACTATTGTCATATTTTCTCTTAGGCTCAATTTTCTGAAAAGAAAACAAATATATAATTCTATGTTAATATAATAATAATATATAATAATACTAATAATTGATGTAGTAGACTTAATTCTAAGGAAGCTTCTGCTACCAACTCAAGACTTAGATATTCCTGTTCAAAGCAGATATTGTGGGTTATTCTATCTTGATGTTCTGGGTTATATTTATGGCTGTGTCGAAGGGCTCATACCCGAGTCCACACTACCATATAACCCAGTTGAATGTGGATTTTACCCAGCTGTATGGAAGAGGCCTTTGAGTCAAGGAACATTAAAGGATTGACATCCAAGGGGCAGCCCTTTCCCATCTGTCATTTCATGCGCATGTTCTTAATGTAATCTAGGCCTTCAAGACAAAACAGCGAGGCCTCGGGCAGAGTGGGTGGGGCCAAAGAGACCCCTGCCCCGTTACCAAGCAACGCCACAAGGGCAGCTAGGCCTTGGCCTCAATTTCACACCTGGGTCCGAAGGAATGGCGGTGACTGGGCAACTTGGCTCCGCTTTGCAATAGCAACCTGTCTCTCCCCTTCTCGCTCCTCACTTTGGAAAACAAAACACCAGCCTCCTCCTCCGCCTTTCTTCTTTTTAACTCTTATCACTTTTATTTTGCCCCACTCCAGCTGTCTCCTTTGGGTTTTTAACCCCCTTCACAGAGACACACACAGACTTTATCCAAAACGGTGATGACCTCCCTCACACAGGTTTCCCTGTCTGCATATGGGAGGTAGGGGGCGGCACAAAGGGAAAGCACTTGCCTCCAAAATGAGAAGGGGTCAATATCCCAGGCGGGTGGGACACAACAAACGAAAGAGTGACAAAGGGGTGGGGCTGAAGAGTGGGTGGCATTGAAAGGGGAAAAGGGCCCTATGAAAAAAGGTTTAAAATTTTTAATGTTTCACGGACTATATTTTAGTTCTTGTGGACCATTGGTGGCCCTCAGAGCACTGATTGGGAACCACTGTTCTAAATGAACCTATCTCCAAACAACACTCAAGAATCATCTACGCATAGAACACCATGAAAATGTTGAGAACCATTGAATACCAAGTTAAGAAACATCAAGTCTGGTTTGATGAAAATGATAATGAGACCCAACAGTTAATCAATAAGAAAAGGAAAGCCTTCCAAATATGTCAGAGAGAACTAACTGTGCTGGTAAGAAAAAGATCTTTGCTAGTGCAAAAGCTGAGGTCTAAAAAGGACCAGAGAACTCAAGAACATCTGGTAGACAGAAAAGGCTCAAGAAATCCTACACTTCGCAGATGTCCATTATGCTTGGAGATTCTTTAAAGCCACAAATGTCATCTATGGCCCAACAAATCATGGCATACACCCTCTATGTTCATCAGATGGAACCAAACTCCTGAAGGATAAAAAACAATTTCACTCCATTGGAAAGAGCATTACTATAACCGCAGCTCCAACGTGGCTGAAGAGGTTCTCTTGCAAATCTTGCAACAGCAAACCAGGGATGAGCTTGCAGCACTGCCTAGTTTGGAGGAAGTCAGCAAAGCCATCAGCCAACTAAAAAATAACAAAGCCATTGAGAGGCTAAGATAAAAAAACAACCCCTTTCCCAAGTCCCTTTTCTTTAGCCTCCCATTGAGAGGCTAAGGTAAAGGGACCCCCCTCACCCTTTCCCCAAGTCATTTTTCTTAACCTCCCAGTTGAGAGGCTAAGGAAAAGGAACTATCTCGCTTCCCAGCTTTTAAAATAAATAAAGAAAAGTGGTTGGAAAAAGGACTTCTTTGGAAGCAAGCCCCAAAATCCCTCAAAATAGCTTATTCGAAATTGCCTTTTTTTAAAAGCCAAATTTTACATTGCAAGTGCCAGAACATGCCAACCAGCATGGCTTTTTTAAAAAAAGTAGTCATCTTGAAACAACCTTTACAATAAAACTTTTATAATAAAAAAGTTCTCATTACTTCTGGTAAATCATGTTTTGTCTAATGTGCACCTCAACATTAAAGTGCATTGCTTATTGATCTAAACATTCAATACTTACATTTTAATTTTTAAATTACTATAGCTGATTAATTTATTTTTATTTAATGTAATTTCTGAGCTAATCTAAGTAATTTGTTCATTTTAATTCCAATAGCATATGTGTCAATTTTTTAAAGGTGTTAGTCCTTGCAGTTCCTGGATTTCTAATGAATTGTGGTTTCCTTGGATGGTTAACTTTTAAAATAAACAAGTATAACTGGTCTTGGGATGACAGCATGTTGTTTGGAATAATTCTTAGTACAACAGACCCTGTTCTCTCTGTGGCTTCTGTAAGAAACATTGGTGAGTAAGAAACTGTATTGATTTTCTAATGGTGAAGTAGATAAAATAAAATTGGTGGCATAATGTTTATAGATAAATTATTCTCAATGTAATTAAAAGATTTTATACCCAATGGCAAATTGATCAAGAATTTGATGAACTATAGTAAAAAAAGAACTGTTCTTCAAACGTTAAATGTAATTTGAGTGATTTAGGTCAGAGCTGAAAGATATATAGGTGTCTTGAGTGTGTTCTTTCAAGTATGTCTTAGCCTTTTGTAACAACACGTTTGCACCATAGTTGCTTAGGATATGTGAAACCTTTAATTTCTGAATGCTACAAGGCATAGTCCATTACAGTGGTCCCTCACTTATCGCAGGGGTTACGTTCCAGAACCACCCGCGATAAGTGAAATTCTGCGAAGTAGGGATGCCTCCTCCCCTTCCTTCCTCGCCCTCTTTACCTTCCTCTTCCTTCCTCCTCGTTGCCACCTGGGACTCTTGCCACCGCTTGGGCCCCTGGCCACCTCCTCAATCATGGGGCCCAAGTGGCGGCAAGAGGGCCAGGAGGCAATGAGGAGGAGGAAGAGGAAGGTAAAGAGGACAAGAGGGAAGAGCTCCTGTCCATCCCACTCAGCCCAGAAGACGCCCTTCCTCTTCGTCGAGGGGAGGGGGCTCACAGGACTCTTCCCTTCTCTCCCTCAGCAAAGGCAGCAGGGACACACACACACACACACAGATCCTCTCGCTTGGCAAAGGCAGCAGCGACACAGAGAGAGCAGAACCAGGGGCGCAAGGGACTTCAGCAGGAGGCCAGGAAGGGGTTAAGCAGCGGGAGAGGCCTGCGCGCGGGAGAAGGAAACTTTCCTCGGATCTTCTCTGGGCAAATGGAGGAAGAAGGGGAAGAAGGACTTTGTTTCTTGGGGGTAGGGCCACTGCAAGGGACGGAGTGGGCTCCCTGCAGAGAGGGAGAGAGAGAGGGGCACCGGCTTTCCCTTCTTGCTGCCACTGGGGTCCCGCGCCACCTCCGCCACCTCCTCAGTGTTCCCTCACTACTTAAATTAATATTTTTTAAAAACCCGCAAAACATCAAGTCTGCAATAAGCGAACTGTGAAGTACTGAGGGAACACTATTTCCTCATGTGACAGCTGAGAACTTAGATTCATTGACTTTCTACGTTTCCATGTCGGTTTTTTAATTTTCTATCTTTCTATCACATGTATTCATAGTTGAGGGAACTAAAAAAAAAACATTGTCAGGATTTGATTTATATTTTCAGTGATGAAAATGAAAGCAGCTTGGAAAGAAAGTAGATGTAGATGCAGATTTCCGTGTTAGTGGCTTTAAAAGTAATGTTAACAAATGCATTGGGCCAGAAGGTTCTACCTTGCATTCGAAGAAACACATTGAAAACAATGTTTGATCAATAGCACAATTCAGCTGAATTGCAGAATATGGCAAAGAGACATTGAATAAGGAATTACGTTACTTAAGAAAGGAAATTAGACACTACATTGCAGTTTTGGAATGTTTCACGTGCAAACCAAATGAATGAATTTAATGAATGCAAATTTAATAAACGTAATTGAGCTGACATTTTTTTCTACAGCAACATTATTTAATTAGAATAAGTTGCCTACCACTGATTTGCAAAATGTAATAAATTTTGTAGAACATTATAGTAAAGAAGGAATCCAAAAAAAGAGCAAAAAAACCCCAACTAAAATTGATGGGAAATATAGGAATGAATAATGATTTAGCAGCAAATCATGCAGAGGAAAGAAATTCACTAAGAAATCTAGATGTTTATAAAGTATACAGTCAGTTTCTGAGTTAGACATGGGATAAGATATAGAGTTAGCACGTGGTGAATGAAAATGAGGATAAGGAATTTACAGGCCAGGAAAAAATTCTTGGAATGCACAAAGGAGTAATCCACAATTAGGTTCATCCCTGCATTCTATTACAACTCCCCCTTCTCCATCTGAATAGTTACGTGCATCTTAACATATACTAAGATTACATTAACCAGTAATGTACTTCAGTTAAAAATGATTTTAATGGAATTCCCTCACAGGTTATTTAGAAGGTGATTTCAGTTTTTGAAACTGACTTTGAAAAAGTGTTTTAAATCGTGATATGGATCATGATATAAATCAATTTGAGTCAAATTAAATCAACCTTGTAGATAAATAAAACTTTCCATTTCCTAAGCACCAAAATTCAACTTGTTTTCTTAGCTGATTTGTGTATGTGTTTTCTTTTTTCAGGACTTTCAAAAATAGTTACAAACTTAATTAAAGGCGAGTCTTTGTTTAATGATGCTACCACAGTAATTATTTTTGAGTTATACAGGGACCTTATAAATCAAAGTCATCATGAAGTGGGTAAGTCTATTGTTTCCTATAATGTTTACATATAAATATGCAATTCTCTGTTAGTGGATGAATAGACCCAATAATAATAATAATAATAATAATAATAATAATAATAATAATAATAATAATAATAATAATTGCACAAACGGATTACAAACAGAAGCACAACTCTGTGGCCCAAATGATTAATTGGAACTTATGTCACAAGTACCAGTAGTAAAGAACTGGTGGGATCATAAACTTGCAAAGGTAGTGGAAAATGAACACGCAAAAATACTGTGGGACTTTCAAATCCAGACTGACAAAGTTTTGGAACACAATACACCAGACATCATGATTGTGGAAAAGAAAAAAGTTTGGATTATTGATGTCGCCATACTGGGTGACAGTCACATTGAGGAAAAACAACAGGAAAAACTCAGCTGTTATCAGGACCTCAAAATGGAACTGCAAAGGCTCTGGCATAAACCAGTACAGGTGGTCCCAGGCACACTGGGTGCACACTGGGTGCCGTGCCGAAAGATCTCAGACAGCATTTGGAAACAATAAACACTGACAAAATCACGATCTGTCAACTGCAAAAGACCACCTTACTTGTATCTGCACGTATCATTTGAAAATACATCACACAGTCCTAGACGCTTGGGAAGTGTTCGACTTCTGATTTTGTGTTACGAAATCCAGCATATAGATCTCGTTTGCTGTGACATACTGTGGTTTTGTGTCAATAAAGTAATAACAACAACAACTTTATTTTTGTACCTCACCTCCATCTCCCTGAAGGGTCTCGGGGCAGCTTACATGGGGACAAGCCCAAACAACATAGTTAAAATAGTGCATTGAAATTCAAATAACAACATCATAACACAATATAAAACAACCAGATATATAACACAATGTAAAAAAAACCAAAACCATCAAGCAACAACCAGTGGCCAGAAATAGTAACAGTTTCCCAACAGGAGTATGTTAACTCTTTTTATTTATTTATTTATTTATTTGCAGTTCTTATATTCCGCCCTTCTCACCCCGCAGGGGACTCAGGGCGGATTACAGTAAACACATATATAGCAAACATTCAATGCCAGTTTGACAAATAACGTTTAACAGACAAATACACCGAGGCTATTTAACTTTTTTTTTCTGGCCGCCAGGGGAGCTGCTGCTTTTCATCGTCCATCAACGACACCGATGAAATTCTTCCGCATTCCACATTTCCCGGAGTCCTCTTTCTTTATGGCCTCATAAATTAGTTAAATTTAGCCTCCCACACAAGGTGGTACCTTATTTTCCTACTTGACAGATGCAACTGTCTTTCGGGTTGCAAAGGTCGACAACGGGCTACACAATGGCTGGACACCCACTCCAGCCCGAGCTGGCTTCGAACTCATGACCTTTTGGTCAGAGTGATAATGCAGCTGACACTCAGCCAGCTGCGCCACAATCCACAATTTTTACCTGATAGTGCAGGTTCAAAACTTTTTCCAGATCTGTTGGGGCAGAGGAAACCCAGTTTCAACTCTCGCTTCACAATGAGAGCAGGTTCTGTTTCATCTTCTCAACTTACTTCAGGTGGCAAAAGAAGGGCTTATGGAGTACATGCATTTGCTCAGGGCTCCATGCTGTGATATATTTTTTTTCTTGAAATGCCCCATATTTCTTCTGGAGGGGCAGTATTGCCACTTTTTAGGATGTAAACCAAAGGGATTTTTAGTTTATTGGTGGGTCAATGTCTTTATGGTTGTGATTTTCAGATCTCTTAGCACTTATTCTCTTCCCTCTATGACAGTGGTTCCCAACCTTTGGGCCTCCAGGTGTTTTGGACTTCAGCTCCCACAGTTCCTAACAGCTGGTAAACTGGCTTGGATTTCTGGGAGTTGAAATCCAAAACACCTGGAAACCCAAAGGTTGGGAACTTCTCTATGAGAACTGCTCTCCCAGAATGCCTGTACCATCAGGACCAAGAATAACTTTGTCTCTGCTTGGATAAGCTTTCTGTCCTCTGTTGTATTACTGAAAGCCAATGTTAACTGAAAGTTCATTCACTTAAGCTAGTTGGTCAAGATAGGTATAAGCAAGTACTCCTTCACACAATGCATAACTAAACATACAATAGAGTTGAAAGGACAACAGCTTTATAAATAGACATTGTCAGGAAAATTGCAATTATTTTATATATGTTTTTTAATGTGTTAGTATTGTATCTTAAGATGGATTCAGTCATGTTCATTTTTGTTCACATGTGCAGCAAATTGTTATTGTTACAGAGTTACAGGCCAGACAGTAGAATCTTTGAAACTGTGATAACTGAATTCCTTTGCTCTGAGAAAATAGGGAGTGTACCAGCCAGAGCCCAGATAAGACAGGAGGGCGGATTTTCTTTGTCTGTGTGTTTCATGCTATTGCTTTGTCAGTCGCCATTTTCAGCCTCAAGATGTAGTCGCTTGTATATAGATGCTTTCAGTAAAGTTTATTGTTTTGAAACTCAAGAAGTCTGTAGTGTGATAATTGATCTGGAAACCTCAAGTACTCTGTGCATGACCCAGGGGCATCACTCTGACAGACATCTCAGTCTCCCTACGAATGTCCCTAACCTTGAATCTCCAAGTAGTATTAAGAAGAAATGTTAATGCGGCAGACTCTAAGTCAAAGTGAGGAAAAACAAACACCCTAAGACGGCCTTCTGTTCTTGGAGACCCATGTATCTCTTGGGGCAGGCCTGCACAACTTGGCAGTAATAAGGGGCTGAAATTAGATAGGCTAAACCTTTTGGGCTGCAGATAGGTTTAAAAACCTAACGCCTCATTTGGGGTTTGTGAGAGGCATCTTTCCCTCAGAGCAATCAGCAAATCAGATAAGCCTGCACTTCCCTGCTTTCTTCTCAACATGGGGGCCAGTAGTAGTTGTTTTCTGAGGGAAAGAAGTACCTCAGCATTTGCCTCTGCTGCTCTTCCTTTCTCTTTGCCTCTGGGTTGCTGTCACTGTCATCTCTTTTTCCTCCTGAGGGAAAAACCACCAAGTCTGCACTGTTCATTTCTCCCATTTTTGAGGGAGACACACTGCTTCATTGTGAAGAAAGACCCCCCACAACAACTTCATGGAGAATCTTTGTTTTGCCCTCAAAAGTAAGGAAAATGAATGGCATGGAGTTGGTGGCTTTTCCCACCAGAGGAAGAGATGACAGGCAACTCAGAGGCAAAAAGAAAGGAGGAACTGTGGAGCCATGTTTCTCCCTCAGAAGCGAATGGTGCGGAGTTGGCAGTTTTGCTGCCAGATGAGTTGACGGAAGCAAAGAGGAAGGAAGAGTGACAGAGGCAATGACTGAGGTCCTTCTTTACCATCTCCCTTCAAAATGGCCAATTTAATGTTAAATTTAAACATAACCGGTGCCCAGGATCCCAACCTCCCTGAGTAAAAGGTCTAAGGTCCCTTATAATTTCATCCCCGCTCCCCAGTTCTTCAACCTGAGTCCAACAACCTTCCCAGGCCATTGTTCCCAGCCAAGACCAGCCCTTTGAACCGCTGACTGGATCTATCAGAGGGCACTTTTGCCACAAAGTGAGTTTGGTAGCTTTGATTCATCAAGTAAGGAAATGCATAATAGAGGGAAAGTCATTGGAGGAGGGAATGGCAGGCTCTGATTGATCCTCTGCCTCTCTCTAGGCTTAGGCCCAGAGCCCCTGAGGGCTGCACCAGAGCCTTGGGGCATGTGGCCTCCGAGTTACATGTTACGTCGGCTTGTCTTAGGGCCTAAGAGATACTTGCGTCTCCAAGAACACCAGACTGTTGTCTAGGGGAATGCACATGAGAAAAATGGCATCAGATGCTTGAGATGCACTACTATGGTAGCACCACTGTTTGCAAGTGGATTTACAAGGTACCTTTTTTTTTTACTCTGAAGCATACATTGGACTTTGGACATGGCGATTCATTTTAATCTTCTCGTATAGCATTTGTTTTTCCTTTTGTGGTTACACTGGTTACCAACTTCAGTTTAATTTAAATTAGAGAATCAGTGAAATGGTTACAGGCTCTGATCCAGTTCATTCTAATTCCCTGAAGCTTCTAGGTCCACAAAAAGTTGTAAGAAATTGTGAATCTCCGGCATCGTATGCTGTTTGGCCTTCAAAACATCTTTCACATTAGAGTATTGTTAATATTTTGTAACATCGAATGTACTTTACACATAAAAGATACCATAAAGATATCTTGACATAGTTGGGAACACAAGGCTGTTCTATAATATATGATGCATGTTTTAAAAATTGTCCATGTTTAGGACAGAGACAGAATAGTCCATTAGCCTTCACCTAAGTTGTTCCTTATTAGGTTTATTTCCAGATGAGTTACAAACCACATTATAGAAATCTAATATTCACTGCTATTGCTCAGATGGAAATTACCCATCAGTTGAAATTTTTCAGTACTCATGTCAAATAAATTGTTGCCCTTTTTATTATTCATTGTGAGAGGACACCTAAGCATCAGTTTCCTTTTATATACCTTGCACTTACTTTGAGCCCCCCAAACCCAGCTTTGGTTTTTGTACAGCCATGATATTGTTTTTATGGTGTTGCTCTGTGATTGTGATATGTTTTTATTTGATTGCTGTTGTTGATTTTATTTTAATGTGTTTCTTTTAATCTGTAATCTTCAGGTTTGTCCCTTTGTAAGCTGCCCAAGTCCCCTCGGGGAGATGGAGGCGGAGTATAAAAATAAAACTGTTGTTATGTTCATTGTGTTCAGAACGGTTTACATCAAAATATTTGGAGGATATTAAATATTTACAATAATCAGCTATAATTAATCTGATAAGTTAGTAGGTGAAATATAAATCACATAGTAGATAATATATTATGTCTTTAAACATATTTTTAACTTGTGTTGTTAAAAATGGAGTTTAAGTCTTTTAAAACTTTTGCATGTTTTTTAGTTGCACTTTGTTTTAAATTATGACAACTTGCCTTGAATATTGAAATGGAAGAAAGGCAGGGTGAATATAATATAATATAATACACAAATAACTAATTTGAAAGAGGGATAAAAGTAAGATAGTAAGGTGGAAATAGTTACAGCTCAGTCACTTGAGGCCCTGACTTCAATATAAGTGTTTTTGTGAGATATAGGGCCCTTCCATACAGCCATATAACCCAGATTATCAAGGCAGAAAATCTCATAATTTCTGCTTTGAACTGGATTATCTGAGTCCACACTGCCATACAATCCAGTTCAGTGTGGATTTTATACAGCTGTGTGGAAGGGGCCTCGGTTATCAATCACTTAATAAACAAAAGTTGTGTCCGTTGATCAGTAAAACACTTTAGAAAACCATCTAACAAAACTCTGATAAATTGTCTATATTATTAATATTACCAGACTTTGAATTTCAATATACATAATTAATTTTGTTTTGTTAATAAATAAATAATCATCACTCTCCACCAGACTGCTGCGGCTCCAGTTGATGTGTTCTTTGTTCATTTTGGCAATGAATGTTTACCACTGTTACTTTTGTTGTAAACTGCCCTGTGTCCCTTTGGGGAGATATGGCGTATATTATTATTGTTATTAATAATAATAATAATGTATTTACAGTATTAGGCTTTTTAATTCAGTGGGTCTTGCTTTCTAATACTTGTAAATCTGTTTCTGTTGGTCCCTAAGAAAGGGCAAATCCTACTTTCAGCTACCTATTTCATAAATGTGTGGTTGCCTCGCAGCTCCAGGGGTTTTTGGACGAAACTGATTATCTCGATCTGCCACAGTCTAGTTTCAGACCGGGTCATAGAACTGAGACAACCATAGTCTCCTTAGTGGATGATCTTCGCAGAGAGCTCAACAGGGGGAGTGTATCCCTGATGGTTCTCCTCGACCTCTCAGTGGCCTTCGATAGCATAGACCACAGTATCCTTCTGGATCACCTCACAAGGATAGACTTTGGGAGTACTATTCTGCAGTGGTTCCAGTTCTTCCTTAAGGATCGTACCCAGAAGGTGTTGTTGGGGGAAACCTACTCGGCCCCGCAGCCATTGTTCTGTGGGGTCCCATGGCGCTCAGTATTGTCCCCCATGTTGTTTAACATCTACATGATGAGATCATCTGGAGTTTTGGAGTTCAATGCCATCTGTACGCCGATGACATCCAACCCTATTACTCCTTTCTACCAGATGCTAAGGAGGCTGTCTAGGTTGTGAACCTGTGCCTGGCCACTGTGACAGTCTGGATGAGGGCGATCAAATTGAAGTTGAATGCTGACAAGGCAGGGGTCCTCCTGGTCAGTCGTAAGGCCGAACAGGGTATAGGGTTACAGCCTGTGCTGGTTACACTCCCCTTGAAGGCTTGGGTTTGCAGCTTAGGAGTCCTCCTGGACTCATTGCTGAGCCTGGAACCTCAGGTTTTGGTGGTGGCTGCACCAGCTGTGCTCGTTCCTTGGGAAGTTAGAGTTGGCCATGATGGTCCACGCTCTTGTTACATCCAGGATAGACTACTGCAACACACTCTTATGTGGGGTTGTCTTTGAAAATTGTTCAGAAACTTCAAATGGTCCAATGAGAGGCACCTGGGTTAATAACCCGGGGCGGCATACAGGGAGCACACAACTCCCATGTTATGTCAGCTTCACTGGCTGCCTGTTTGCTACCAGGCACAATTCAAAGTGCTGAGTTTGGCCTATAAAGCCCTAAATGGCCCCAACCCAGTTTATTTGTCCGAACGCATCTCCCTTTACGAACTATCACGAAGACTAATATCTTCTGGGAAGGCCCTGCTCTTGATCCTGCCACCGTCACAGGCACGTTCGGCAGGGACAAGAGATAGGGCCATCTCAGTGATTGCCCCTCTGCAATGTAACTCCCTTCCTGGCAATATTAGATCAGCCCCCTCCCTCCTGTCATTCAGAAGGATGGTGAAGACCTGGCTGTGGGACCAAGCCTTTGGGGCAGTCCAATGAGGCAATAATAGAATGGCGTCCTGAGATGGTTTTAAGCAACTGATTTTAAAGTGGATATAAGTGATTTTACTGTTTGTGTATATTTATGGTTTTATGTCCCAGCATTGAATGTTTGCTGTATATATGTTGTGCTCTGCCCTGAATCCCCTGTTGAGTGAGAAGGGTGGAATATAAATGTTTCAAATAAATAAATAATAAATAAATGTATATAGTGTATGATCAGTGCTCCCAAAGGAAGACATGAGCTCAAAATATAGTTCTTTTCCTACTGAAGTCAGTAGCAGACCATTCACTCATCTAAATGCAGCAAAATTATAGTCTAAGCTACTTAGAATAAATTTGTCTTATTGATGTGAAAGGGGCAAAAACTATAATTTGACTGGATTGAGTTTATTGTAACTATCTGTATGATAGAGATCTTGAAGTTTGGTAATTCTCTGTAATAACTATGATACAAATTATAAATATTTTTGTTTTCCTTTTACAGTTAAAGAGATTTTTATACAGTTGATGTTGAAATTTTTTGCAAGTATTGCATTTGGATTTTTGAGTTCAAAATTAGTTAGTTATTGGCTGGCACATATTTTCAATGATGGAATTATAGAAGTAGTTTTAAGCTTCTCCATGGCATATATAATTTTCTTTTTGGGTAAGTTGACCTCAGTATTTATTTTCTAAATGCAATTTTTAGTAGGCACACCAAATTGTTAATATAGCTATATAATTGTGATTTATTTCTCTCTTATTCTAATTCATTAGCTGAATGGTTTGGAATGTCTGGCGTTATTGCTCTTTGTATGTTGGGTCTTCTTCTGGATTCTGTAAGTTTTAGTCCAGGAATGGATGTGTTTCTTTATAAGTAAGTATATATTTTTTGAATTTTTGAACCTTTATGATGGCTTGTTTTGTACTTTTTATATGTCATTTTGAGAAAATTGAACTTATATGAACGAATTTTAATAGATATTCTGTATACAGAATTGTATTTGTAAATTGTAAATCAGATTCTGATAAAAGCAGATGGCATTGATGAAAGGACGTTTCGGAGCTTCCCAATGCACTTTAGTGTTGTGAAGCTCTGAAATGTAATAAATATGAATCAGGGAAAGGTTGACATTGTAAACCAAACAGTGGAATGTATAAATTTTGCAGTATCTGGCATGAAAGAATTAAAGTGGACTGTGACATTTTCATTAGGTAAGTATTTTATTCTGGAAATGATAGTCTGAGAAGAGGCAGAATTAATAGTGTAATCTATATTGTAAAGCAGTTGTGCTATAATGCAAACTTAACCGTTTTCAATAACATCCATAATAGTTTATGGAAAACTTATTACCACCATCACTCAAATGTGTGCTCCAAATGCAGAGCAAAATAAGATGGCATTCAGAAAGACACTGGTCACACGCCAAGAGAAGACATAGCTAATTGGAATTCAAAAGTAGAAAAAAAGTAGAACCAAATATGTGTGGTGAATTTGAAACGATGGAGAGTAATATACTTAATTTTGTGGCACCAACTATTTGTTACAACTGACCGCAGAGTTGACTGTGGCTATCACCTGCTGGCATTAGAGAAAGCCAAGTGCACTATATAACTGAAAACAGTAGATGGAGCAGTTTCATTCACTCAGCAAAAACAACACTAAGTGATCTGTGATAAAGACCATATACTGTCAATATCAAAAATTAGAGAGTGCCAAGATAATATGTAAAAAACATCAGCCAAAAATAGAAACACTGTAAAAAGAGCAATTTTGCCACGTAGGCCGAGGTAACCATTAACTAGGTGAACTCTGGACTGGAATTGGGGATCTTATTGAGGAACGACAATAAAAAAGATTATGCCTGTGGACAGAAGGGGAAATCAAAATTCCAGTAGATATCTGATGAAGTGCTTCAAATTGTTAAGGACAAATATGGAGAAAAATGAAATGTGACAGAAGTAGTATCCTGAATGCAACTATTTCTCCCAGCTTGTAGAAAGAACTATTCTATTAGTCAATTTAAAGAAATGGAAAAGGACAACAAAAAGGAGTTGTGAGAAAACTTCCACAAGATCAGAGAAGTCATAGTTCTGAATGTTCAACAGATTGACACATTATACAGTCAATGCAAAATTGAAGCAATACACTTAAAAGAGGCATGCGGTGACAGTAGAGTCTTTTATGTGATGAACCTACCCTTTTAGGAAGTGAAGGGGAAGTTGTTCTCAAAGCATTTGGAAAAAGGAGTTTACCATGGACAACTAGAATATTACTATAGTTGACCCTCTCTATCCAAGGTTTCTTCATCAAGGCTTGAAAATAGATTTTTTTTTAAATCCCAAAAGCAAAACTTGTTTTTCTCATGCTTTATAATGGATGATAGTTTACTACGTCATTGTATAGGGGACTTGATTTTGGTATACATGGCCCTGGAGTCAAACCTCTGTGGGTTCCAAGGGTCCGCTGTAGTAGCTTTTTAAAACAAGATATGAATCTAAATTAAATTCCAATAGAAATTTAATAGAATTCCCAGCAGAACATCTGAGAGTGTTGCGGCACATACGTTACCCGAGAGCATTTAGAGCACAATCAAGCAGGAAGGAGACGGAGACTGCAAATTGATTCCAGGCAAATTTACTATCAAGTTGATAGGACGCTCAGAAGCAAGATCTGAAGCGTACTAGAAGTCAGACAGGCTACAACTATTTATAGCAGAAATCCACTGGTCTAGACATGCGTAGAACTGTCTTGACATTTACACAGTTATAATCATTAACAGAGGTCTATACGCATTGCCTTTTTCCATACACCACGATAACGTACTTTTAATTGTTTCAAGTCTTAATTATTCCCATAATCATAGTTCACTAGAATTGATTCCTTTATAGAATATGTCTAAAGTTGCCTGCTATTTACCTCACTGAACTACCAGATGCCGCTTTCTGACCTTTTAGGTGTTCCAATTACTTACGCAGGTGTTCTTGTCTAGCTGCCAAGAACATTCCCTTTGACGACAAACATTTCATTTACTATTGTTTCCCAAATGTCATGTCCCAGTTAATATTTAACTTCCTTGAGCCTAACCCATGAAGCTAAGTCAACATTCAATTTCATCTATGGAACAAATCACTTCTCTTTGCCGCAAATTCTCTTTCGTTCAGTATTTTGAAGGTAAGTTTTCCTATATTCATTTAAATACATTTTTATTTTCTTCTGCTTGCTGCCACATTCCCCCCTTTTTGCGAGCGAATGTTCTACAGTAGCCTCGCAAACTCACGACATTACATTCTCAACAAAAATATCATTTTACACAATCATTTATCGCAGTTGAAGAATGTCCCATACATGTTGGCACCTTCACAGTGCTCCTCAGTCTTCTGTCTGATTTATTTGACCAGCTTCCAGGTATGTGGTCAAAACCAGAGCCGTAGTCCTCTTTCTGGGTCTCATGGCACTGCTGGTTTGATGATATGAAGTCTCAAGGAATCCTGTGGATCAGGAGTCGCATTCCATTCAGGTGGTACCTTCTTTATTCTGGTATAATGTATCCAGGCTTTGATTCCTTCCACCTTGACAGCTGTGGGGGTAGAAAGTAGGACAGTAAAAGGTCCTTTCCACTTTGGTCTTAATGGTTCTATTCTCCAGTCTTTAATCAGCACCGAATCCCCCGGGCGAAAAGAATGTAAAGGAGTAGCTGGCCAGGGCGGCCTCAATTCTTCAGTATATTGTTGGAGTTGAGCTATAGTCTGTCCTAAAGCTTGAATATCCGTTTTCAAAGTTTGTTGTCCCAATTGACTAAGGTCCCCTTGAAGATGCCTCAATCCAAGTGGAGGTCTTCCATACATGAGTTCAAAAGGTGACAGGCCCAAAAACTTAGTAGGAGTACATCTAATATGTAACAAGGCCATAGGTAATAATCTAGTCCATGGCAAGCAAGTCTCTTGACACATCTTTGATAATTTTCCTTTTAGTATTTGATTCATCCTTTCTACTTTTCCTGAGCTTTGAGGTCGGTATGCACAATGTAACTTCCATTTTGTTCCCAATAGTTGGACTAAGGACTGTAATACCTCTGATACAAAAGCAGGACCATTATCTGAACCAATGTGTAAAGGAATCCCATATCTTGGGATAATGTCTCTAAGAAGTGCCTTTGACACTTCAGCTGCCTTCTCAGTTTTAGTTGGATATGCTTCAGGCCAACCAGAGTGAGTGCATACGAAAACAAGCAAATATTTATGAGGCCCACATTTAGGCATTTCGGTGAAATCTACTACTAGAGATTCAAAAGGCGTATTTCCTTGATATTGAACCCCTGGAGGTGGCATCGGCCCTGTTCTAGGGTTATTTTTAGCACAAATCTGACATCGGGCTGAGGCTATTCCTGTTAGGGCAGCGAGTCCATTTATGTAAAGTTGCCGTCCCATCAATGAGGCTAAAGCTGTTTTTCCCATATGTGTCTCTTGGTGTGCTTCCTTAATCATTTCCCAAGCTATTTGCCTGGGTACAAACAGTCTCTGGTCAGGCAACACCAACCATCCATTTTTCTTTACAGCTTTCTCACGCTGGGCCCATTGTTCTTCTTCTGGAGTATATAGCAAGTCATCATTTTTTATCCAATCTCTTACCTGCAAAGGGGCCATGACCGGCTCTTTTCCTCGTCCCTTTCGGGCCGCGGCCTTTGCGGTGGTATCAGCATACCGGTTTCCATAGGTCACAGGATCCTCGCCATATTGATGTCCTCGGCAATGCATCACTGCTACCTTTGCAGGAATCCAAACAGCATCTAACAATCTCAAAATGGTCTCACTATGTTGTATTTCTTTCCCAGCAGAATTTAGTAGTCCCTTCTCTTTATATAATGCTCCATGTGCATGTAAGGTAGTGAATGCATATTTAGAATCTGTATAAATGTTGACTATTTTTCCTTCTGATAACTCCAGAGCTCTTATGAGTGCTATCAGTTCTGCCTTTTGGGCTGAGGTATTTAGAGGAAGTGGTTCTGCTTCCCACACAGTAGTTGCAGTTACTACTGCATATCCAGCATATCTTTGTCCATTTTCCATAAAACTGCTTCCATCCGTAAAAAGAGTGGTATCCGCCTTAGGCCATGGTTGATCTTTCAGATCAGGCCTACTGGAATATATTTCATCCATAGTCTCTAAACAATCATGTTGAAGCATTTCTCCTTCAACAGGCAGGAGTGAAGCAGGATTTAATGTACTGCAAATCTGTAACTTAATTCGAGGGTTTTCACATAATAAAGTCTGATATTTTAGCATACGGTTATTTGTGAACCAATGATGGCCTTTATAGTCCATGATAGCCGTTACTGAATGAGGGACTTTGACTATCAACTCTTGTCCCAAAGTCAATTTATCAGCTTCTTGAGTCAGCAGGGCCGTAGCAGCTACAGCACGTAGACAAGTTGGCCATCCTTTTGCTACAGGGTCAATTTGCTTAGACAAGTAAGCTACTGGTCTCGGCCATGTTCCTAATAGCTGGGTAAGCACCCCCACTGCTATTCCATCTCGTTCACCAACATAAAGTGTGAATGGCTTCTCCAAATCAGGCAGGCCCAAGGCAGGTGCATTCACCAAAGCTTGTTTTAATCGGGCAAATGCTTGGGCGCATTCGGGGGTCCAATTAAATGGTTCCTTTTCACCCCCCTTTGTAGCTTCATAAAGAGGCCTTGCCATTATAGCAAAGTTAGGTATCCAGAGTCTGCAAAACCCTGCACTCCCCAAAAATTCTCGCACTTGACGCCTACTGGTGGGGGTGGGGATAGCGCAAACTGTTTTCTTTCAATTTCTAATTGTCTCTTTCCCTGTGTCACACGAAAACCTAAATACTTGACACTAGTTTGACACAGCTGGGCCTTCTTTTTAGAAACCTTATAACCCTTCTCGTAAAGTAAATGTAATAATTCTTTAGTTGCTCTGTAACATTCTTGCGACGTGGCTGCCAAAAGAAGATCATCCACATATTGTAAAAGAACTCTATTTTTAGGGTCTGATGGGAACTCTCGTAAGTCCTGAGCCAACGCCGTTCCAAATATAGTCGGACTGTTCTTGAACCCTTGAGGCAAACGGGTCCAAGTATACTGGACTTTTGTTCCAGTTGTGGGGTTTTCCCACTGAAATGCAAAAATGGGCTGACTATTGATTTCAAGTCGTATACAAAAAAATGCATCTTTTAAATCCAAAACGGTAAAATGAGTAGCTGCTGACGGTATTAAACTCAAAAGTACATATGGATTAGGAACAACAGGGTGTATGGTTACTGTGGCTTGATTTACAGCTCTTAAATCTTGTACTGGACGAAAATCTTGTGTCCCTGGTTTTTGTAATGGTAAAAGAGGAGTATTCCAAGGAGACCTACATTCTCTTAGGATCCCATATTTTAGTAACCGGATCAGATGCGAATTGATCCCTTCTACAGCTTTTCGAGGTATTGGATACTGTCGAATAGCCACAGGTCCCATCCCTGGTTTTACCTCTATCTGTACAGGTGGAATACACCGGGCTAAACCAGGTGGATTGTCTTCCGCCCATACTCCTGGAACTCCATAGCTCTTCCATTCTTCTGTACTTTTCTGGCGAACAGTAAATATTCTCCATTCTTCAGACATAGGGCAAATCAAAGTATAAGGTCCCTTTCTTACAGTCATTCCCATTTCTCCATTTGCTTCAAATGTCAATATTGCTCTCATTTTACAAAGCAAATCTCTTCCTAATAAAGGGATTGGGCATTCGGGGATATATAAGAACTCATGCATCACTTGTTGTCTTGCTAAATCACATTTTCTACTTTGTAACATAGGGTAACTTCTTCTTTGACCGGTGGCACCAACCACTTGAAGTTCTTGTCCATTTTTAGGGGCCACTGGCTTTATTACCACAGAGTGTTCAGCTCCTGTATCTGCTAAAAAAGTCATTTCCTGGCCCTCAATTTCCATTTTGACCAGTGGCTCCCCCGGGCCTAGGCGTAAGGGAGCCGGTCTGTCCTATTCTGTCCAGTCTTCTCCTAATCCAGCCATGCCAATAAATTCTTCTTCTATTTTTCCTCCATATCTAGCCACAGGATCCGGGGTAGCATATCCCCCTTGGTGGCCTCCTCCCCGGCCTCTTCCTCTCCAATATCCTCTCTGGGATGGCACTCCCCTTTGTATTCCTATCGCTCCTCGGGCAGATGGGCACTCGTTCTTCCAATGGCCTTCTTGACGACAAATGGCACACTGGCGTCTTCCCAGGGGCATCCCTCTTCCTCCTTCTCTTCCCTTTTTCCACATTCCTCTTTTTCCTCTATTTTCACTTCCAAATCCTTTCTTTTTATCTCTTTCATTTAATATGTTCAAAAGAATCTTATGATCTTCCTCTCTTATTTTCTTTCTCTCTCTCTTTTCTGCTTCGTCCCTATGGATGAATACTTTTGTGGCTATTTCAATTAATTGGGACAGATTCATCCCTGCAAACCCATCTTGTTTCTGTAATTTCTTACGAATGTCTGGTGCAGATTGAGTAACAAATGAAGTATTTAGTAATGCAGATCCATCTTTGGATTCAGGATCATAAGGGCTATATTTTCGATAAGCTTCTAACAATCTCTCTAAATAAGCACCGGGGCTTTCATCTTTTCCTTGTATTACATCTTGTATCTTCTTAAGGTTGACCACCTTCGGGGGTCCTTTTTTCAAAGCTTCAATTAAAAATTCCCTGTATTGGACTATGTAGTCCCTCTCTCGTTTAATATTAGGATCCCAGTTTGGATTTGTCAAAGGAAATGCCCCTGCAGCCCACTCGGTGGGTTTATAACTCGTGTTCTTGGCAGCATATGCCTGTGCTATTAGAGTTCCTTGATTAAGGATTCTTCTTCGCTCTTCAGAAGTAAAGAGAGTCTGTAATAGCTGTTGGCAATCTGGCCAATCTGGCTGGTGGCTAGCCATTATCGTTTCACACAAATTTATAAGTGGCTGAGGGTTTTCAGTATAGGGAGGATTGTTAGACTTCCAATTTAACAAATCAGAAGTAGTAAAAGGCACATGCTGATAAGTAGTCTTTTGAGTCATTGTTAATTCTCCTTTGCCATCTGGTTCTTGTACGTATTGAACCATTGTTCTCAAAGGCAATTGAAAAGTAATCTTTGGGTTGGGATTACTATGACTTCTAGTTCTTCCAGCTATGGGGCTATCTTGCAAAAACTCTTCTGTTATATTCTGAAGCCATCTGCTGGCAGATGCTAAATCTATTAAAGGTGATCTTGTAGGTGAAGACTCCTCAGGGGAGGTATCAGAAGATTTTGGTGTGATTAAAGATTTGGACTGGGAGGTCAGGGTTGACCCTCCTTTTTCAATGGCTTTTAATTGTGGATATATAGGAACATAAGGAGGAGGGTTACTTAATTCTTCCTCAGGACAGGAAAAAATTGCAAACTTCTTTTTTTTCTTATTTGCCTGAGGTTTCTCAGGATTAGTTTGGGTTACATAAATAGCACATTCTTCGTTTTGACATTTCTTTAACCATGAAGGCTGTGTAATTACGGCATTTTCCCATGCCTCAGCATAAGGGAACCGATCTGGATGAACCTCTGCTGTTATTCTTACAACTGGTCTGATAGCTTTTAAGTCATAACTTCCTTCACTTGGCCATCCGGTATTGAATTGCACCCAATCTATCTCACAAAAAGATCTCAATCTCTGGGGACTATTTCATCCCGGTGTTTGAGTTAACTCCCTAAATTTTGAGAAATTCTTCATCATGCATTCAAGGGGAGTTGAAGACTTCTTACTTGGTATACCACCCATTTTCTATTTTTCTTTTATGCCCACAATCATATACACAAAATAGATATATTTTTAAAGCAAAAAAGCAAGCACAGAAAGCATAAAGAAGCGAAAAATACAGAAGCAAAGAAGCAAAGAGACACAGTATAAACCAAGGCAAACACAAAACACAAAACAGACTTATCACTTTCCCCCTGAAAGGGTATTCCTCCAACCTGTGAGTGCGATTTTCTGCGGCGAAAAACGTCACTCGGGGTTTTTCACTTGATTTCTGCAGTAATCTCACAGTGAAATATTCCCCAGGTACTTCTCCTGTACCTTTTTCCCTTTAAGGCTAGCCTTTTCCCTTACCTGTGCCATGGAATCAAAGCTGTTAATTCTCAATGTACCCCAGTCCGGAGGTAGGGAAGGCGAAGATTAGCTGGGTCGTTTCTCTCAGTGGGTACCCGTATCGCCCCTTCTGATCATCGTCTTACCTGACCCGCTGAGTGGGGGCAATCAAGCCCTCAAGAGGCTTCGTCTCTATTCCCCTCCTTGTTGGCTCAGGTCCTGGAACGAGCCCCCATTTGTTGCGGCACATACGTTACCCGAGAGCATTGAGAGCACAATCAAGCAGGAAGGAGACGGAGACTGCAAATTGATTCCAGGCAAATTTACTATCAAGTTGATAGGACGCTCAGAAGCAAGATCTGAAGCGTACTAGAAGTCAGACAGGCTACAACTATTTATAGCAGAAATCCACTGGTCTAGACATGCGTAGAACTGTCTTGACATTTACACAGTTATAATCATTAACAGAGGTCTATACGCATTGCCTTTTTCCATACACCACGATRACGTACTTTTAATTGTTTCAAGTCTTAATTATTCCCATAATCATAGTTCACTAGAATTGATTCCTTTATAGAATATGTCTAAAGTTGCCTGCTATTTACCTCACTGAACYACCAGATGCCGCTTTCTGACCTTTTAGGTGTTCCAATTACTTACGCAGGTGTTCTTGTCTAGCTGCCAAGAACATTCCCTTTGACGACAAACATTTCATTTACTATTGTTTCCCAAATGTCATGTCCCAGTTAATATTTAACTTCCTTGAGCCTAACCCATGAAGCTAAGTCAACATTCAATTTCATCTATGGAACAAATCACTTCTCTTTGCCGCAAATTCTCTTTCGTTCAGTATTTTGAAGGTAAGTTTTCCTATATTCATTTAAATACATTTTTATTTTCTTCTGCTTGCTGCCACAAGAGGAGGTTAAATAATCAGATGCTGACCTAAGCTGGGGATGTTTTCACTCGTGTTGGCCTACTCTTAGCTTGTAAAATCAAACCCCTGTGATTTGAGATCATTGGCTACTACACTTGTCCTCTCCTGTCTGTTGAGCTGAGCAACTTCCAACCTTTCATGCGGCCAGCTCACACCATTCCCCACGCATCCCATTGGGTAAGTCATACAAACGTCCCATTGGGTAAGTCATACAATCTTCTAGAAATTTGCAGCAAATCAAAAACAAAGCAAGAGTCCACAGATTGGAAATGCTCGGAAAAGGTTGGACTCAGTGCTGTTGGATTGCCTGCTGGATTTAATAGTCTTTACCTTGCAGGAACTAATAAGGGCCACTAATAACAAGGTTATTTTTAGATCTTTCCTGCATAGGATTTCCATAAGTGAAACCCAACTAGATGACGCTGACAAGAGAAAATTGAAATATGCTAGTTCTTCTTTGTGGCCTTTGAAATCACACAAATGGGTTATCCTGCCCCTGCACAGAGCACCTTTAGAACCTTCTAGAGCCCTAAAGATACACTTGGAGGCAACTTCACTCACTCTCCCAGGCAGGTAGTCCTGACCTAGTCATTTGTAGTCAGTATGTCCTGGAACACTTTCTTATGCTACCAGTTGCAGCGGAAAGAATCAGAACAAAGATGGGTCACTTTAAGCACCTCTTGTGTCTTGGAGAGGGGCATATAGTGCTATCTTGCGCACGTTATCACTTTTACACTCCAGACCAGGCTGAATTGCATCCTAAGGTCCTGCTTATAAGTTTTCCTTGTTGGCAGCAGCTCCTTTATCAAGCAAAGCCACAACAAAGATATTGATGTGCCACATTTAGTTTCTTCTGTATCATTGTTACTCCACACTGTCGCCAAACCCTCTTTGATGTCAACATCTCTGGTATCAATGTCATGCTTCACCATGTCATTTGTCTGCCTCACCATAAAGAGGTTCCTCCAGGAGTTTGTGTAGTCCCACTCAAGTCAAGATCTTTGAAACCATATATGACAAACCCCCGACACCTGGCAACGTGGGGTTGGAGGGTAGCACTGGGTGAGAAAGAAACATTGGAAAAAAGTATAAGGAACCAGCAACCCCCCCCCCCCCCCCCCCCCCCCCCCCCCCCCCCCCCCCGCCGCCCCTTTCCCAACCTCTATTGATCATAGCGTGATCACTGTCATGCTCCTCTTGAACTTGAGTGTACCTCCCTTGACTATAATGTGGTCTGGTGCTCCTGCTCATTGGCATCCAAACCTACTTTAGATGGGAAAATACAAGACTTGTCTCTCACTTTGGCACAGTTGCAGCCTGATGACTCTCACCTGGATTTAGATGAGCCTTTGAAGATAGTCCCTTTTTGTGCTGCATGTGGACACCTGTCTTGTCCATTGCTTGGAACACCAACTCACTCTATAGAAGGATCCTTCTCTATACAGATGCTGGGACCATCATAGTTGTCATGGTTTGTTATACTCATTGTTGGCCTCATGAGATTTTCAATTCTACATCTCCAGGTGTAGTGACTATTATACCATTGGTCCTAAGGCTGTTACCATCAGGACCACTATCCATATCACCACTAAGAGGACTGTCATCTCAGCTGGAAGTATAAGGGATCACCATTCTCATAATCATCAATCCCCCGCCATCCATGTTACCTACCTTGAAGTCTGCCACAGTAACTTTCCAACACTGCAAAGTCTTTTAAATCAATACCAATCACTCTTCTGGTTCAAGCCTCACCTGTATATGAATGTCCCTTGTGTCTGTCTCACCTACCTAACACTGATGATGACTTTTCATTGTCATCGGAAAGTTTGTACCAAATCAGCCAAAATATCTCTTTTCCAATTACACGTTGGATGGTGGAGTATGTATTTACAGTAACAAACTAATTTCTCAGTAGGGAGAAGTAACTAAACCCTAATTGCATTTCATTCAATTGAGAAATAAAATTGACTCATTTCTCAGTGAACAAACGTGACAGAAGTCTAGCTTCATTTCTGTCTACCAAAAGATGAGTGTTTTCTCAGTTAACAGAAGCAACCGAAGCCCAGCTCCACTGCGAAAGGAAATGAACTCTTCTCAGCGGATGGGAGCGACCAAAGTCCGTGTTTCTATCAGCTGAGAAAAGAAATGTCCTTGTATTACATGCAAGGATACCAGGAGCGTATAATGTGCAAAAGGAAAGAGTGGTTGACAAATTAATAGCATGCGCTCAAATTGTTATTGTGAGGGATTGGAAAGATTAAACAGTGGACTCTGACAAATTGGTATAATAATTAAGAACATGTGGGATCCTTTATCAGTGGAGAGAAGTGCATGGTTCTGCACAACCAGGATTCCCACCAGATTTGCCATGCAGGGTGGGGCTACTTTTGAGAGTTTAGTATAGATGGCCTAGTTCCCTGCTGCCCTCACCTTCACCTGTGGTATGGATCTTATCATATAACTGAAGCCACTTAACATGTGCTTGTGTAAAATGCTGGCCCACAGAATACATCATTATATATATCACCTGCTGTATGAAATGGTTTGTTTTGAAATGTATGGTTTTCAGCCATTTTCCTTTCTTCCTAGTTCAGTTTGTATGAAATTAAAAGGTTTTTGTAGACAGAACATTGATAGAATCAAAATGTTTAAATCAGAAACTGTTTTGGGAGTTCTAGGTTGGCGGGAAGGAGAGAAAGTGTTTGTATACTTTCTGCTGTTTTTTGTGATCAGTGATTACAAACTTTTTCTGAAACAGGTTCTGGGCAATGCTGACATTTTTGGCTCATATTATGATCTACCTTATAATGGGAATTGTGATTGCTCAAAAAACATTTCCATATATCAATACGCGTGCTTTTTTTTCTATTATAACAGTATACCTTTCATTGAATCTTGTACGGTAAGAATTTTATTTTCTTATTTTTGTCTTTGTTAAAAGTATTTCCTCAGTATTGATACAGCTTACCTAGTTAAGCCTTGTTGAATGACTTACGCATTGGGCAAAGAGAACTGCTATAATAATCAATGTAAAGAAATAGGTGAAAACAAAAAAGGTAGAAGAGTCCTCCTTCACAAAATCCTAGAAATGATAGAATTTAAACCAGTAGTGAGGGTCCTGCATGACCAGCAGAAGAACACATACAGTAGACACTCCTCTTGAACAGTAATTAGGGGTGCAGAAACCACATGACTAGAATAAAAAACATGAACTAAAAATAAAAACACTTTGTTTAATTCAGATAATGTGTCTTTAGGTCCAGGGTGACTGTATGGTTTTCAGCTTCTGCTGGAAGTTAATCAGATAATTTCTTTTGAGGACCTAGAGATTCCTAGATAAGGGTTCTCTCTAGGAATGTGTAGGTCAGAAGTCCTCAAACTTTTAAAACTGAGGGCCACTTCATGGTCCATCAGACTGTTGGGGAGCCAGAATATATCTCAGATGTTTCATTCAGGGAAAAGTCTGCTCGTAGAAATGAGATATGTCTCAGGGGAGAGATACATAGAAATTAGTAAGGCTGATTGACTTGAATTCCATTTGGTAAATTGGATCAACAATTTCAATGTCAACTGGAAATGGGTTCTGGAGAAGCTGTATATCCTCTTCATGGAGATAAAACTCTTTAAATTTCATTTGAAAATCCTTTTGCAACATTTCCAGTGAATCTACACATTTTTGTTTGAGAAAACAACGGTTGGTTTTTAAGCCAACACAGCTTTTAAGTAGTGGGGAGATGGCAGAAATTTTCCTTCTTCACTTGTTTAATGAGGAGGTCCAATTTTACTTCAGATGCTTTCACATGTGAATGCATATTGCAGATGAGCTTTCTCTTTCCTTGAAGCTTCACATTGAGTAGCTCTGTTACATGTCAGAAAGGCAAGGTGCCATTTCCATTCTGCATCTTTGAGCTCTGGTACTTCTTTGTTTTTTGAAAGCAGAATAACAGATACCCGTGCAAGTCATAAAAACATTTCAAAACTCTCAGTTGACTCAGCTAATGGATGTCTGTGTGGTACAGAATATCTTAATTGACAACATTCATCTCAGACAGAAATTCGTGAAACTCTGTGGTTTAGTGCATGAGCCCTGTTGAAGTTAACACAAGACACTACAACTTTTATGACAGAGTCCACTTCAGTTATTTACAACACAGCACTTGGTTAATGAGGTAGTGTATTGCTGTTGAACGCGAATGGCTGTGTTAATGCATACAACCAACTCTTTCATAGACCCCACTAGAGCACCAGAGTTTAGCCAAGTCCAGCTCCAAATCATTCACACTTTGGTGAACCTTTTTCATAGATATCCTCTCCTGTTGTTGTTCCTTTTATGCTTTTCAGCAAGCTCATCTTCAAAATAATAATTTGTCCCATGAATGAAAATTATAAGTTGTGCAGAATCTCAAACATTGCTTTTGTCGAGTGCCAATGAAAAATAGCAAAGTTTTTTTGGGGAGTTTTGCAAATGCTGATGCAAATTGTCCCCCATTTCTTCAATCCTTGGTGCAATTGTAGGTCCTGAAAAATTCACTGTACTAGATAAAGCAGTCTTTTTTGGATGCATCTTTTTGGCAGTGGAAAGAAAGCATTATTTAACAAATTCTCCCTCTTGAAAACTCTCTGCTTCACAAAGAATTTTCCTGAGTTTTCAATCCATTTTTAGCTTTAATATTTTGTCTTTTCTCATTTATATGACTAAACAATCATATTTCTCTTTATGTCGAGTTTCGTAATGTCAACACAAATTGCATTCCTTGAACACACTAAATCCTTCCATAACAGACAAACAGCTCTCCTTGCATTGCGTAAAAAGTAATTTTAGGTCCACTGTTCTTTGAATATCCTGCATTCTGAGTCAGCTTTCCTTTTCCTTGACATAATTGGAATGCAGAATGGATATTACTTCTTTAAGATGAGCACGTGTAGTTATGTCTGCTGCTGGTCTGTATTTCTGGGTCCTGGGTAGCAGGCGACATTGAATCCACACTTTGTGGGGGTTATGGGGCTCTGAACTTGGAGGACCATATCTGATACCCCAGGTCTGGGTTCTCCAGCCTCTTGTGAAAGTTGACTTAAAGATTCCTAAAGATAATATATTTATTATTTATTTTGAACATTTTTACCCCGCCCTTCTCAACCCCTAGGGGGACTCAAGGCGGCTTACAATTGGCAATAATTCAATGCCACATCATAAAATACAAAATAGCAAATATAACAATTAAAAACATGAACATTAATAAATAAAGATTTAACAGTATACTTACGATCCATTTAGCTATTTCCAGTCTGGTGGCTATTTATCTAGCCATATACTAATGATTACTCCTCTTAACTTATCCAAATCCACTTCCAAGCCATAGTCAAACATTATCAATTGTCCTTTAACCTAATTGCCCTAAGGCCTGGTCCCACAACCACGTATATTAATAAAACCTGTGAATAATCAAATCCACTAAAGTTAAACCTGCAAATATGCAGGGCTGAGTACACAGTCTTTCATTTATATTTTGAAAAATATAAGATTTGCAAGATAGCATACATTTCCAAGATTTTGTGACACAAAATGTGAATTTTATTCTTGGATTATTTTTACTCTGGTTTCTCTTCAGATCGTATAAATTTTTCGCTTTTCTTTTTTTGCTAGGAGGAAATCTAATTGGTTGGCAGTACTTTTAGTGTGTGTTAAGTTAGGATTGCGGGGGTGTCCTAGAGATTTACAGTTTACAGTATAACCTATATTATATATACAATAGAGTCTCGCTTATCCAACCTTTGTTCATCAAACATTCTGTATTACCCAACTCAGTATGCCTCCCGGCTGGATCTGCACCTGTTTCAATACATTGCGATGTTTTGGTGCTAAATTCATAAATATAGTAATTACTACATAATGTTACCATGTATTGACCTGATTTTTCTGTCGATTTGTTGTAAAACATGATGTTTTGGTGCTTAATTTGTAAAATCATAACATAATTTAACATTTAATAGGCTTTTCCTTAATCCCTCCTTATTATCCAACATTTTCGCTTATCCAATGTCTCTTGGCCCGTTTATGTTGGATAAGCAAGGCTCTACTATCTATTGTATGTTTTCTCCTTGAAATTGAAGTCAATAGACATTAGCTTTTCATAGCAAGCTATCTGTTGAAATGTTTACCCTGGTATTCCTGGCTGTTTTGGCCATGCTACTGCAGGCAATGGAAAAAGATATTTTATATAATTAATTTGCTTTATATAAAATATATTTATAATTTGAATTTGTCAACTTTTTTATTTTGAACACATTATACAGTATTTTCAATGCGTTTTTCTTAACTCATTTTCTTTTATTTACTCAGAGCATTAGTAATTTTGACATTGAGCCCTTTTTTGAGTCGTCTTGGCTATGGATTTAATTGGCGTTGGGGTGCTGTTGTTGTTTGGAGTGGAATGAGGGGTACGTTCACTTTGAACATGGCTCTGGCAATTAGCCAGACACAAAGTTCCACAGCAGCTGAACTTCAGGTTAAGACCATGGTAAAGACAAATTATTGTTTTGAAAATGATTGTCATAATTTCCAAGCAATCTGCTGTAAATGTTTTGGAAATGTGTGTTTATACTGCTTGAGCAGTATTTTCAAATTAGTGTATTTAACGGGTGTGTATTTATGTACCTCTAATTTTCTGTAAGAATTTTGAAATAAAGTTATGGCCAGACTTAAATCCAATTGTTCAACCCAACTAAAGTTGACATATTTAATCAGTGGTGAATCCTTTAATTCAGTGGGTTTCCTTCAGTTGAGCCTAACAACTGGATTTTGGTAATAATTTATACTTCACAGTCTACTGCAAAATCTCATTTCTTAAAATTTACATTTTCTTATCTTAATGATGTGTACTGAGAGCTAAAAGTGTGTTTAATTGCATAAATGTTTTAGATACTCTGCACAGACCTGAGCTGTACTAGGAAGTAAGAAAAAGAACTGCACTGTGGGTTAATAGCAAACAGATAGCCTTATGAGCATTACATTCAATCCCTTAGCCATGCTTACTGCTACATTACTCCACTTAAAGCCAAAAATATGTTGAGAAGTTCACTATAAAATGCAACAGAACTCCCCACAGTTCTGACAGCTTCTTTTGTAACATATTTAATTAATCTAAAACTGCTTCTTAGCTACCAGTTAATCACCAGAGCATTCATGAAATGCTAGAACACATATGGGTAAATTTCGGCCTTGAAGGTATTTTAGATTTCAACGCCCAGAATTCCTAACAGCCTACTGACTCCTAGGAATTGTGGGAGTTGAAGTCCAAAACACCTGGAGGGGTGAAGTTTGCCCATGCCTGTGCTAGAAACACCTAAATTCTTTGATTAAAAGAAGCACCTTTAATAAATAAAATGTTTATAACTGAAAGAAGCTATGTTCTAACTACGCTCTGAAGATTCTGCAGTTATCTCATGAGGAACTGGCCAACATGTTTCATCTCTTGACTTACCAAGTTGCTTAGCATTTATTCAAAGGTGCTTTTTGACCTTTAAAAATAGAGTGGCCTTCCCATCCTTATGCAGGGAGAGCTGGTATAAGTGCTTCCTTGTCAACTCTTCTTCCTCCTGGCCAAGAAATAACTACAGCAGTGCCCCTTACCTTGATAACTGCCTTGTGGTTGTGGTTTTGGAGCTAGTGAGTAGTCCTTTGTGAGGCATCCAAAACAAGATGTAGAGACCTGTTTAAGACTGAATTATACATGCTCATATAACTAACAAGGTTTCATTCCTAGTTTTAAAACATTTTGTACAGATTTTGAATACTTCGGAGGAAGGGTTCAGTGTCACCTGGTGAATCTAATAGCTAAGCACGACTTTTCTTTGTGGTGTTTCTGATTCATTCATGTGAGGTTGCTTATTGGGTGGCTTTGAAACCTTCAGAAGCTAAGCTACAGTTGGGTTGCTGTGAGTTTTCCGGGCTGTATGACCATGTTCCAGAAGCATTTTCTCTTGACTTTTTGCCCATATCCAGGGCAGGCATCCTCAGAGGTTGTGAGATTTGTTGGAAACTAGGCAGGTGGGGTTTATATATGTGGTGAATGTCCAGGGTGGGAGAAAGAACACTTGTCTGTTTGAGACAAGTGTGAATGCTGCAATTGATTTTAACTGAATGTTTTAGTGCCATTTGTGTTTAATTCTGCTTTAATGTTTGAATATTTGTATATTTTAAATTGTATACTAATGTTTTTATGTCAAGCCGTTTTGAGTTCCCTTTGGGAAGATAAAGCAGAGAATAAGAATAATAACAACAACAACAACAACTGCTTTTAGCAAGAGTGATTACAGTTGCTAATTGCATACATTTTTTTGTTTCAGATATTACTGCATTGTGGAACAGCATCTTTGTTAACCTTAATAATTAATTCTACCACTGTGAAAAAGCTTGTTATGACATTAGGTAATGCAGTTATTAGATCTTTATCTTTGCTTTAGGAAATGAATGTTTATTGATAGATCGTGCCTTACACAAATGGGCTTTGCACTTGTGCAGAGACTACTACTGGAAAATACTAGAGTTGATCCAGCGTTGTGGGTAGAGTAGATAAGAGGAGATGAAGTTAAATTACATACTACTACAGTAGCAATAGCCTGAGGGAGCATCTTCAAATGTCCTGATGAACCTGGTACTGATGGTAGGATCAGTGGGACCAAAGAGGTTGGTATTGACAATGGGTGTGTTGAATCTGAAGGAGCAGAAGACATTGTGGATAGAGTGTCCTTATTTCTGGAGAAATTATTCTTCACAATCATGGTGAATGCAGAGTAAAGAGCTTTATTCAAATCCATCTGATTAGCCACTCTAAGGATTGCACCCTTAAGTGAAACATAAGTGCTATTTTGAAGGGCTTGAGAAGTGAAGTTATAGTAAATAGAACATGCAACTGTGTTGGGAAATGTGCAACACATTGAGACATAAACAGTTAACCTAAAGGAAGACTTTCCTCCCACAGGCAATATAGAATTTGAAAAGAGAAGTAAGTGCATAAAGGAAATGGAAGGGGACCAGGCATAGGCCCTGACGTAAAGGAAGAGTATACTGAGTATGTTGTTGCATGCCAGGGAGAAAAGGTGGAGGAAGAATGAAAAAAAATTACTAAGCAGACATGTATAACTCTGCACTTGTTGATTATTCTGAAATCCCAATACTTGACATTACTTACAGGGAATGTCTTTATTTCCACACATTTTTAATCTCTGGTAATTAATCCTAAAAGATTCAGGGTGTCAAAGAGCAGTAGACATGCAAATGGTTCAATTAGCTGGAGAGACCATGCCTGCTTCACTCATCTCTTTTTTGTTGTTGTGTGCTATAACACCATCTTTCTAACTGAGCTCAAGGCCAGTGTTTGCCTTATTTCTGATATTCATAATACTCTCTGGGATCCTTTTCAGCTACAGTGCAGAGTAAAAATGTACAAAATCTGTTTTCTTTTAAAGATATACTAGTTTGAAACAGAGAAGAAAGGTTCAACTGTGATTTTAGTTTCATTTAGTAGAGTGGTAGAAAGATCATGTATGAGACAGTTTGCCATTCATACACTTCCTTAGTTTTCTCCAGAAATTTGGGGGAAAGTGTGCTTTACAGCCATCTTAAGACTGTGTGAAGAAGTTGGTATCATTATTACATATATCCTAAAATTATGTGCATATGTATGCAAAAAAGCCATAAACATTTCCAGGCCTGCTATGTTATTTCTCATATTAACTAATTAATTATTTTTTTTCCTGCTTCTAAAGGCCTTTGTAATATTACCCTTCCAAAGCGCATGGCAATGCATAATGCAGTTCAGCGTATCCGACAAATGGAGGCCAATGCCTTTTCAATGTTGAAGCTTGACAGATTTTTGGCTGATGCAAATTGGGCAATGGCTGAAGATTCAATGACAATTGACTACCCTTATAAAGTAAGTATTATTCTACTACTATTAAAATATTGTCATTTAGAAAATGAATAAAACTGTTATTCATAACTTAATTCTTGCAAAATGAGCTAACATCCTAACTCTGGGGGCATACATAATTAACATCTGATTTTATGGAGGCAACTTAACATAGTACTGAATTTAAGAACTGTACTTTTCCAGAGCTGTATTTGATTTATTAAGAATAGAATAAAATTATAGACTTAATATGTATAATAAATAATTTATCAAGAAAGATGAGAGGCAGTATCTTATATTTCTTTTAGCACATTAGATTCACTAGATTCGTAAGGTTCCTTTTATTGATGAAGAAAGCATATCAAATATGTTTTTTTTCTTTATACTGTGCCTCACACAAAAAGGTGTGTGTCTGCACAGGGAACTAATCAGAATGTTCCAGGCTAAGTAGCTTGGCAGGAGACCCTTACCCTCATCTACTGTGCATGTTTTTCTTGTACTTTTTCATTTGGTCTCTTATTCTAGTGATTACAAATGTTTCTCTTTACTTTGGAGGCCTATCTTTCACCTTATTATGGTCTCAACATCTCCCTTTACATTTTGCTTTTTGTGTGGGCGAATTGTCTTTTTTATGGGTATTCCCAATGTCTTTATTTCCTTGATGAGAGATATTTTGTTCAGCAATTCTTCATTTGTAGAGGCTTCAGCTCTCAAACCTTTAAAAACCAGACTTTATTGTTGGGAGCAACCACTGCAAGTTACAGATCCAGCTGCAAGAAATGAGCATCTTTTTCGGCATATGTGTGCAGAAGTCATTGTTATTATCTTTGTGTTTAACTGTTAGAGTATGTATTTGTGTTCGTAACAGTAGCTAAAACTGGAGTCATCTGGTTTGAATCCACAGTGAGCATTGCCAAGGAGACGAGGCTGGCTCATGAGAGGGAGAAGTGGGCGGAGCCAAGCAGGAAAAGTTATGTGCGTTTTAAAAAAAAACAGGAGAGGGAGGCTTGAAAAGGGAGAGAGAGTGAGCGGCTGGTGTTTGTGAGCGGCTGGTGTTTTTCAGTCTAGGAGGGCTGAAGAAAGAAACCTGGCCAGATTCTTTAGTCAAAGAAGACAAAAGGAAGCCTAGTTAAGATCCCTAGTTAAGGAAGGACTAGATATCAGAGATTTGATTGAGGGAAGATCAAATTGAAAGGCTATTTATAGTAGTGAAACATTGTTCACTAGAGAGCTTCACCTCAGTGAAAGTTAGCCACAAGTTGTGTTATCTGGAAGAGTGGACTGTATTATAAACTACGTGATATTCAAAGTTCCATAAGTTATTTAACAGCCTGCAACCATATGCTTTGTACACAATAAACCTGTTATCTTTTGTTGAAAACCGTCTCATCTCAACTAATCTGCGTCTGTAGAGCCAGATCTCATCGGTGGTACCTCAAATACCTCACGTTGGTGGCAGTTACCTTAATTTACAAATAATAATTGGCCTCCTCCATAATATACTCTTCTACACAATTGAGGCCTGAGGTAAATTCCCTCCATAACATCCACATCTGTACAATTGGTGGCAGCGGTGAGATTAAAAAAGTGCCTGAGGTAAAATACCTCCATTATTAGGGTCTGCCGTTGCCAACCTCAGTAACACACAAGCACCTCCTCGAAATTGCTGATAGGGGTGGGGATCTTCAGAGCTAAAATCCCTATACCCTGTCCATCGTTGTGTTCGCATCTTCTCAATATGCAACAGCATTAAAGCCTTAGTATTTATCTTGAGAGTGGGGTGCAGAATCTTTTCCATTCTCTTCCTGCTCATCAGAAATCAAAGATAATTTTGAGTTGTAAGGACAACTTTGAAAGCAATATTAGTTTCAATACTGACATTGATTTTGACACTTATTGTGACGATTTTGGTATCAACAGTGGATGTGGTATCAATGGTGCTCTCAATATTGGCTGTCTCTTTGACATATTTCTACTTCTAGGCCCATATCTACTGTAGTTTGAGTGCTAGGGGATGCTGTATTTCTGACTTCTCAAGCACATAGTTTGATGGTCTCTTGATCTGTCCACTCTTAAATCTGTTACAAGAGAAGGATCTCACTTGACTGACAATTCAAGATAGTGTGATATTGACTATTGTAACTCATTTGGATGTTCTGCTGATTCCAAGTACAACTTCTCTGCAGCATCTGTATAAGATAGATATAGAAGCACTTCTTGAACAGAGAAGCTTGTGAGGCATATTAGTATTCTAAATTTTCTGTCTCCATAGGTCATACATACCCCAGTTGCTGTAAAAATCCTCAGTTCCTTTTCAACTGCAGCTGCAGACAGTTTTGCGAGGAACTTGTTATAATCAGTGAATTAAACAGGATTGATTGCAACAGGGGTTCTTTAACTTTTTCAGCTGCAGAGCCCTTTTTGAAGCAATAGTTCCTCATTGATCCCCAAGAAATGTTTGTATTATATAATGTATACATTATTAAAGTTGATATTATAATTGGGAAATGTTTTTATAGTGTATTATATTATATATAAAGGAAACAATATTTAAAAAGACTCATGGTGGCTGGAGGGTCAGGTGTGCACACTCACTTACTCTGCCAGAGAAGGGAAGGTAGGAAAGGAAAAGGAAGGGAAGGGGTTGCAGGTTTATGGGGTAGGACATTGGGGCTATTTCCTTTCACATAAGGAGTGGCAGTGCCTTTTAGGCAAAGGCCTAGATGACAACTGAAAGACGGGAGGGGACGGTAAGGGAGAATGAAAGGGGCTACTGACTAATCAACCCACCTCCCGCCCTCCTTCCTTCACCAATCTCCGGTTTGCCTCTCAGTCTTCCCCTGGGCATGAATAAGATGGGGATGGGGGAAGGGCCCGAGCAGAGGGGTCATATAGCACCTGCAAATGCTCTCGTCTTTGCCTGCCCACCCCAGCATCTGTTGGAACGCTGCAGAGTACATTAGCTCAGAGTACATGCGCCAGGTGAGGGAAGTGGGCATTGACAGAAAAAGGAGGAATGCGAGCAGGGAAAGGAAGTGAGAATTGTGTGCTGGGCATTCGTGGTGCGCATGCATATTGTAATGGATTGGCCTACCTTAAAGGGCTGGTGTAAAACACAGAAAACAGGCCCAGCTTGCTAAAGCTAAGAAAGGCTGAGGGGAGGAGCAAACAGGCAGCCAAATAGCCCAAAGTGCAGTCTGATTGGCTGATGAAATTGGAGGGAAGAGCTTAGTAACTGGAGATGGGCGGAGCCAGAGGCAAAGAGAAGAAGCTGAGGCAACCATTTTAGTTTGGTTAGAAGTTTGGTGGGGAAGAAGACAGTCAGTTTTGAAGAGGGAAGAAAGAAAGGAAGAGAGTTGGGAACTGTTTGTTTCATGAAACATACCTCTTCAAGGATAATAGTTAATAGGCCTCTGTAGTGATTAGAGTGTTGTGGGAGAATGGGATATTTGAAAAGATTTTAAAAGATCCTGTTTGGATTTCTGTGCATGTGGAATTTTGTTTTAAGACACTCAAGATAAAAGTACCATCCTCTAAGAAGTAAAGCTTGACAAGTTATTGGAAACCATTACGTGTATTGCCTGTTCAAAATAAACAACATACTCCTGTTTCATTTCAACTGAAGTCTTTGTGCGGCTTTTTAAAAATTCCACTGAAGGAGGTGGCCTATGAAATAATAAATTGGTGGCAGCAAAATAAACCTTTAATAAATAATTGGAGGCAGCAAAGGAAAATATAATATACAATGGTGGCTTCCCACTGTCTGGCCTTGTGTGAGTGAGGGTGTGTGTATGTGTGTTCTGGTCCCCTCACAGCCTTGCTTTGGGCCAAGTCTTGTCGTTTTGTCCTTTGTCTTCCAATTTGGGTGTGTGGTGGTGCCCTGCTGTTGCACATATCTTTTAGCCACTCCTCCCTCTTTTTCCTCATCATGGGAAAGAGCTTCCTGCCAACAGCAAGCATGTACAGAAGGGAAGCAACGGGTGGTGGGGGAGCAACTAGCCAAACAGTGTCTCCCTCCCTGCCTCTGTGTGCTCTTGAATTGGGGGTGGGGTTGTCCCTGAGTTTGCTTCGCGGAGACGTAAGGGCTCCCTGGAGCATACTTTTAGAACAACTGGAATAACATGGAATAGAGTAAAGCAACTAGCTCAAAGTGGCACCATGAGATTGGTGAAGGCGGGAATTGATGTCTGAACATAAGAATAAGACTTTTTGAAACACTTTCAGTTGGGCACAGAGAGAGGATATGGGTATTACTTCAGTTAGTATATCTGAATATCTTAGTGAACCAGTCCAAAATGATTTCCAGACCTAGGGAAAGTCATTGAATGTTTTGCCATTCTTCCCTTACCTGCATTCACTTTCATACAGTCGTACCTATCTCTTCCCAGGTTCACAGAATCACTCATGTACGAGGGGTATTTTTAAAGTAAGGTCCGTTTGAACATAAGTACACAATAAAAGTTTATTTCAAAAAAGTAAAATTTATTTTCAGAAAGTACATACTTCACTCTATTTTTTGACATAGTTGCCAAGTTTGTTCAAACACTTATCATACCTCTGAACCAATTTTAAAATACCCTCTTCATAAAAACTTGCCGCCTGCTCTGATAACCAAGAGTTCACTGTAATCAAAGAAGGGCGACCGGAGTGGTCCTCATCATGGATGTTGTCACGGTCATCTTTGAATTGTCGTACTCACTTACGCACTTTGCTTTCACTCATAACAGTATCACCATACACTTCACAAATCTGTCGATGAATTTCTGCAGCAGGCAGGTTCCTTGCTGACAAAAACTGTATCACTGAGCGAACCTCACATGCGGACGGTGAGTTGATAGTCTTAAACATGTTTAAAGCACAGAACAGAACCGTACAGGTTAGCTACAGAGCGGAAACTGAGCACAGTTGTTCCCGAGGCATGCCGGTACACAACGTACGCGCTAGTTGCGGTATGCGCGCGAACTACTAGTGTCTACAACAAAACGGAACTTACTTAAAAAATACCCCTCGTATATACAGTAGAGTCTTGCTTATCCAATCTTCGCTCATCCAGCGTTCTGTATTATCCAACTCAGTCTGCCTCCTGCCTGGAATAATGTTAATAATTATTATAATAATGTTAATAATTATTACATAACGTTACCATGTACTGAATTGCTTTTTCTGTCAATTTGTTGTAAAACATGATGTTTTGTTGCTTAATTTGTAAAATCATAACACAATTTGACGTTTGATAGGCATTTCCTTAATCCCTCCTTTTTATCCAACATTTTTGCTTATCCAACATTCTGCTGACCCATTTATGTTGGATAAGTGATTCTCTACTGTATTTAAAAAACAAAAGCAAATATGAATTCCAGTATCATCATCTATATATAGTTTTGATTATTTGCATTAATTTAATGTTTCTATTTTCAACCAAACTGTATTCTCTTGTTCTTTGCTTTTTGTAGTTAGATGCAGAAGAAATACGTCATTTGTCCAAAAGTCTGAAATGTCCAGACTGCGATGCTGATATTACATTTGAAAGGAGTCCTCAACAAATTGCTGACATAATGGAAGAAGCTAGATTACGCCTCTTAACTGCACAAATAGTTTGTATTTCTTATTTTTGTTAGAATATTTTTATTTTTAGTATATATATATATTTAACAGTTTTCCCCGATTCCTAAATATATACCTTAACATTCAGAAGTTCTTAAATATAAAATGAAAATACATTGTTCCTAATGTGTTTTGCAACTATTAATTTTAAACATCTACCTGTAACTTGTAGTCTTCTAGCCACTCCTCCCTCTCTTTCCTCATCATGGGAAAGAGCTTCCTGCCAACAGCAAGCATGTACAGAAGGGAAGCAACGGGTGGTGGGGGAGCAACTAGCCAAACAGTGTCTCCCTCCCTGCCTCTGTGTGCTCTTGAAGTGGGGGTGGGGTTGCCCCTGAGTTTGCTTCGCGGAGCCGTACTTTGAGAACAACTGGAATAACATGGAATAGAGTAAAGCAACTAGCTCAAATGTATCCAAAATGTATCAAATGTAGTTATTGTATCCAGAGATCTTTGTTGGTTCAGTGAATGAATGAGTTGAGTTCCTTATTCCTGTTCTATAGGAGTAAACTGAAGAGTTTTGAAGAAGTCACTTAAACCTCCTCGTGAGAAGGGTGTGTGCATTTCATGTTGGTTCTGAAGTAGACTGGCTCCCTCCAGAGACTAGGACACTACCATGTTCCTTTAGGCCGCAACTCCCGGTGACTAGCTCCTTCAACTTCCTTACATATGTTTTGTTCACCATATCTCTTACCATCTTATTTGCCCTTTTTTGCTTGTCTGTATCTTTTTAAAATGAGGTGTCTGGAACTATACAGTACTCCATCACAGAATATGGTGGGATTATTACTTCCCTGGATTTGAAAACTCTACTTCTTTTAATGTAACCTAAGATAGTATTTGCTGTCACTTTTGCAGCATCAGTAATAATCTCATGTAGTATTGCTGAGCCAAGTAGCTCCCATTCTGTAACTTGGCATTTGGTTATTTTGGCCCAAATACAGAATTTTACATTAGGTGAATTTCATTTTAACAATTTCAATCCAATTTTCTAGATTATGAAGGTCCTTCTGAATTCTCTCCCCATTTTCTAATGCATAAGATACTTCTTAGTTTTGTATCATTTGCAAATTTGATGACTTGACTCCTCTGCCCCATCACCTAGATCAGAGCTTCTTAAACTTTTCCACATGGAGCCCCTTGTGGCCTGAGAATTTTTTATGTGACCTCAGGTGTATAAAGTAGGTATCAAGCTTGTGTATTTCAGTTTAACCTTGATCCATTTCTGCTGGCCAGATTCTGGTAGACCCCCATAACCCTTTTCGTGCACCTCCCAAAAATGGGAGGGTAGCCAGAGAGCCGTTTTCAGTCCCTAGCCGAAAAATATGGCTAAACCTTCAAGGAAGCCTGGATGTCAGCAACAGGATTAATAAAGCACCCTTCCTGGGATCCTTTCTATTTTTTCTCCTTCAAGGGAGCCTGGGTGTCATCAACGGGGTTAAGAAAACACCCTTCCTGGGATTCTTTCCTTTCTTCCCTTCAAGGGACCTTGAGTATCAGCTACAGGGTTAAGAAAGCACCCCTCCTGGGATCCTTTTCTTTTTCCCTTCAAGGGACCCTGGGTGTCAACAGCACCCAGGGTTAAGAAAGCACCCTATCCATCCCATTATGGAGGAAACTTCCCAGGCTCCCCTTCCCATTATTTGTCCTTATATACTTCATTAAAACCTGGATTACAAGCATCAAGAGTTGAGATGCAACTCTTTTCTGCGATCCTTTCCCTTCTGTCTGTAGAGGAGACCGGATTTAATGCTTCATTAAAAAAAATTCTACTCTAGAGGACACAGGTGGTGCAGGCAGGCGTGCATGCTCTCTCTCTCCCTGCAGCACACATGTAGCTTTCTAAGGCATTTTAAAGAGACCCAGGGAAGGAAGAGCGATGTCTTGGAGCTATCCTTCTTGGGGTTCCTTAAAAAGCCCTCTCTTTTCTCTACTGCAGGCCCTGCCTGGAGTGGCATGCTTCAGTCTCATTTCTGCTTTGGGTTTAATGCTTCCTTGAAGCTGTTTCTATTTTCTACTCTTTCTACTCTAGAGGAGAGGTAACTAGATGGTGGTAGTTTTCTGAGAAGGAGTCTTCTCTTTTTGTTTGTTGGGATTACTATTACACTGTTCAACGGAGAAAAAGTTGCGGGCCTGAAAACAGCTGTTCTTTTATGATTTTGGGGTGCTGAAAACAAAAATGACATTTAAAAATGTATATTGGCTCTAGTTTTTATGATATAAGCAGTCACGTATGGTTGAAAAAATGCATGTTGCGACTTACACTATGGAAGATTCTAGAATATTCTAGAAAGTTTGATGACGCAGTAGTAGTGCCGTGTGCAAAAGTGCCAATGATTTGGCGGGAACCAACCGATCATGTCAGTAATTGTTACTTTTGTATGGTGCCTCCAATTCAGAAAGGTGTTACAAAGAGAAAGAAATCGTTTATTCAGTATCCCAACATTCCTTCAGCAATGCGTCCAGTACCTCATGGAGAAGGACTACCAATTCCAGAAGCACTTGAATCTTTCGTAATTGACTCCAGTGAGAAAGAACCAGACGAAGCTTGTAGTGATGATCCAATAGCCTTATTTGACCCCGATTTTCTGCCATTCACATCCAATGAACCACATCTCATAACACTGATGGAACTCAACGACCTAATAAGAGATCTGGATCTTCCTAAGAACAAGGCCGAGGTTTTAGGTTCAAGACTGAAGCAATGGAATCTCTTGGCAGATGATGTTCGTACATCACTATACCGTGACCGTCAGAAAGACCTTCTTCCACTCAGGAAGGTGATATTGCTGCTTGTAAGAATATCTGCGATTTAATGTTGGCCCTCAACATTAATTATAATCCCGGAGAGTGGAGGTTATTCGTTGACGCTTCCAAAACAAGTCTTAAAGCTGTATTACTGCGTAATGGGAATCAGTTACCATCTATTCAAGTTGCTTATGCAGTTGCAATGAAAGAAACATATGAAAACCTGAAAGAGCTTCTAAGATGCATCAACTATGATCTACATCAATGGTCAGTCTGTTGTGACCTAAAAGTTGTTGCTATCTTACTTGGTCTTCAGGGTGGATATACTAAGTATTGTTTTTTATGTGACTGGGACAGTCATGCCAGATAATTGCATTACATCAAAAGAGACTGGCTGCTAAGGCAGACATTGCAGCCGGGAAGTAAAAACGTAAAACATCCGGCACTTATAAACAGCGACAAGATCATATTACCTCCATTACACATAAAGCTGGGATTAATGAAAAACTTTGTCAAGGCAATGTATAAGAATAAACCAGCTTTTATGTACCTGAAAGGTAAATTTCCATCAATTAGTGCTACAAAAATAAATGAAGGAATTTTTGTTGGCCCACAGATCCGTCAAGTTATGGGCGACGACAAGTTTCTTTCTCTATTGAAAGGAAAAGAAAAGGCTGCGTGGATATCATTCATGTCAGTAACATCAAAGTTTCTTGGAAACAACAAATCATCAAACTACAAGGAAGTGGTTGAAGAACTACTCCAAGCCTACCATCGTCTTGGATGTAACATGTCATTAAAAATTCATTTCCTTGACTCGCATCTGGATTTCTTTCCATCAAATTGTGGAGCAGTGAGCGACAAGCATGGTGAGCGTTTCCATCAATAAGTTGCCACTATGGAAAAAAGATATCAAGGCAAATGGACTCCGTCAATGCTGTCAGACTACTGCTGGAGCATTGTAAGAGACAATCCTTTCCTTGAATACAAAAGAAAAGTCAAGAGAAGCAAACAGGATATAAACTAAATTCACGATTAAAGCGACATTTAAACTTTCAGACTTTTCAACTGCATTAGGCCTACTAATATAGTTTCTTGCTGCACAAACATAAACAATAGACTAATTAAATAAATATTTCTCATGTATAAACTATTGGCAATATAATTTGACTAAATATCCATGGTTTATATATATGCAGTAAGGTTAGTGCATTATCATAATATTAACGAATTACCTATTGTGGAGAAAATTGAAATAGCTGTTGCATAAAAACCAGAGCCAATTAACACATTTAATTATTATATTTGAATTCAGCATGTTAAATTTATTAAGAAACGGCACATTTCGTTTCCGCAACTGAGAAAAACTGAAAATTTGTATAACAGTGTTATTAATAATTATTATTATCTTTTTGAAGTATTTTCTGAAGGAGAGGAAGGGAAGGAGAAAAAGAAGCTAAATGGATGACTCCAAGCCCCCAAACACGCGTGCACGCATCCCGCTCACCCATCCCGCATATCCCTAACTCCCAGTCAGTTCCACTAAATAAAAAGAATCAAGACAATAAAGGAAAATAATAATAATAATAATAATAATAATAATAAACTTTATTTGTACCCAGCTACCATCTCCCCAATGGGGACTCGGTGCGGCTTACATGAGGCCAAGCCCAAAACATCAATTACATAAAATAAAACAAAACCGAAAATGCAAATAATGAACAATAATAACGCAATTACATAAAATAAAAGACAACATGGCAATATAAGATTACAGTAAACACAGTCACAATAACATGGGCAAGCTACATGTAATGGATAAAAGAAAAACTGGTTAAAAACAGATTAAAAACTTGGGCGAGATAAAACAAAGACAGATTATTTGCGGAGGAGAGCTCATTATAATGGAGGTCATGGAGCAAAACTTTCCCATAGGGGGAATGTACACCAGTAACAAAACCGTTAAAACTAAACACTGATGCAAGGATGTAAATATATTCACCAAATGCGCAGCGGAAGAGCCAGATTTTGAGCTTCTTTTTAAAGGTTTCTAGGGAAGGGGCTTTCCTAATCTCTCCAGGTAGTGAGCGAGAAAGAAGGGCCTCCACAGAAGAACGGAGGGCCCGAGTTGGTTCATGGAGAAAGATACAGTGACGAAGGTAGGCGGGTTCCAAACCGTTTAGGGCTTTATAGGTGATAACCTGCACCTTGAATTGGGACCAGAAAATAAACGGCAGCCAGT